AAATGTTACTCAGTTTGTTGATAGTTAATTTACATTATTTAGGAAGCACATACTAGTGGAGATAAAAATATTTCCTTATCTCTAGTAAGTAATTTTTCCCTTTTAACTTTTTAATTTGTAAATTTTAAATTTGTCTTAAGTATTGGGGGTGTTTTAATTTGTCCCGGGCCAAAATTATCTAATGTGGTTTTATACTGTCTTTTAAATTTTGTAATCTATGTGTTTTATTTTTTGGCTGTTCACCGCCCTGAGTCCTTCGGGAGTAGGGCGGTATATAAATTTAATAAAATAAATAAATATAAATAAAATAAATTTCAGTTGGAATTGTCCCCAGTTGAGGTGATGAGTCCAGAGCCACCCTTCAGAAGAATTATCTGTGACACAGCCTGTTGCTTTCTCCTTCCATTCTTTTAAAATGATATCTGTAATAATAATCAGGATAATTTAATTGTAATCCTGTCTATGTATTTACACATAGATTCCCAGCTGAGTGCCTTCAGTGCACTTTTAGTTCCCTTGAATCCTTAGTTACTGTCATCTTACACATTTGGAGAACACCAAATTGGGAAAGCTAGAGGATTAAATAGAAAGCATGTCTCCTGTCCTTCAAAATGGCCTGCTTTTTGTAGGAAGCTCTATAAGACGCCTTGTGGTAACGCATATCACAGCCTTGTGTGAACATTTCAATGAAAAAAATCAGTGAAACAAGATATAATGTTCTTTACATTAGTGAATGTTATTGAGATATTTAGCATATTGTCTGTACCTTATACCAAGTGGTAAAGTCCATATTTTAAAGTATGTTTTAAATCACTTTTTATAATGAACTCCATTATATAAATCTGCTATTAGTTTAGGGAGTTTTTCACATTTGCATATAGATGTAGCCAAGATCTCAATCAGTCCCTACTGTTGTGTTTTTCAAACTTTTGGGACTACATTTCCATTTTCCCTAGCGAGCATGGCTGATTGTAATACTGGTTGCAGAGGGATGGTAGTTGTAGCCTGATTCATCATGAAATCACCAGATTTTGGGAAGGCTAAGTGATTCAGTGAAACAGCATGAAGCTAGAACCATTCATTTTAGCGATTGCTAAGATTTTTCTCTTGTTGGATGCAATACTTGACTTACAGCAGTACATTTAGTGACCATTTGAAGTTAACAACAGCATTGAAAAAAGTGACTTATGATTTTCACATATACGACCGTTGCAGCATCCCCACAGTCATGTGGTCAAAATTTGAGCGCTTGGCAATTGATTCCTATTTATCACAGTTGCAGTGTCCCAGAGTCATGCGAACACCTTTTATGACCTTCAAAGCAAAGTCAATAGGAAAGCCAGATTCACTTAACAGCCATATTACTAACTTAACAACTGCAGTGATTCATTAACAAATGTGTCAAGAAAGGTTGTAAAATGGATCAAAACTCACTTAACACATGTCTCACTTAGCAACAGAAATTTCGGGCTCAATTATTTTCATAAATCAAGGATTACCTGTATTCCTTCGCTTTTCATGTCTCTTTTGAAACATTGTTCTGGTAATGATCATAATGTTGGTTTTCCCTCCCAAAATGGCATTAGATGACAGCCAGGAAAAGTGTTGCTGCTGCTACATAGCCTTGAGACACATACATCTCCTTACCTGTCTTTGCCTAATCTAGAGGAAGCTGATAGCATATAGTGAGGATATTTTTGAGGGGAGAAAGAAAGCATCCAGGAGGCAGCTCCTTTTCTCAGTGACTGCCCTGCATAGAGTTTGTGCATCTCCCGGCTTCAAGAAAGAAAATCATTTGCTATTTATACTTTATACCTGTGGCGGAATGTAGTCTGGTTTCCCAGGAGGGAGGAGCTGCATTCCAGATGACCAAGACAAAGCAATGTTTGGTTGGCAGAAATAGGGTCAAGTCAGCCCCTCCCTAGAGGTTTTCAGAATGTATCTGTAATGATGCAAGTAGTTGTTTTAGCTTGGCAAGATTTCTGCCTGCCTATCTATCTGATTTATGTGCCACCCATCTCATCTGTAGGTGAGGAACAATAAAGGAAACTGCTCAGAAATGCAGTTTTTTGAGCCTGACAATAACAATCATTCAAATGAAAGGAAGAAATTTTCCTATCATTGTTCAGTGAAAGTTGAGTTACCCAAAAGAGCCCGGAGTCCAAATGCAGGATCTGGGCAGCTCACTCATGATGCTGTAATTACTAGCTACGTTCCAAAGTAATTAATTTTAAATATCGGAAAACAATGCATCCTTATTTTCAAAGTCGTTTTCAAACAGTGGTTTGTTTTATGCATTAAGGATGGAAAGAGAACTTGTTAGAAATCTTCCTTAAACATTGTCCAGCTGCAAATAGTTGTCTTAAAATAGGGTGCCAAGTAAAGGAAGTGAAAGTTTGCCAGCTGACTTCGCTGGACTCCAGAGCTGAAAAAAAACATTCCTATTCAACCCAAGTGCTGGCTTCAGGATGGTTTATTCCATCAGCATTAGTGAAAATCTGTTCCTGAGCAGATGCAGCTTCTGTATTAGGAATTAAAGGCATGCATTTCCCCCAGTGATTGGCATTCTTGGGCCTTCTTCGGCTCTAAAGACTACCCATTGCAGGTGCCTCGGAGTATTTGGGCTACCTGTCATGTGGGCACATCACATTTGCTCTAAAATTGCTGTAGGTTTCATGCTGGGCTGAACATAATGCCAAAGAAGGAATTGGAGCCATCCCTGATAAGATCCCAAAATGTGGAAAAGACAGGGTGCCTCACCTATCTCTTTTCACATCCTTCCCACATTGCTTTTGGATGTGAAAAGGAAACCAATTGCAAGAAGGATGGCTGCACCTTCATTTTAGATCTTCCCGCCGAGATTTTCACTTAGAATTCCTTGATTTATTGAGGTGGCTTATGAATGAGATGCAACAGAATGTGTTGGAGGCGAGAGGGTGGAATTCATATTTTTACACTCCTTCCTTTTCTGTTTGAATGCCTGTATTCACTTATATTAAAATATGAATTTAAATTTCTTACAGCTAGGTCAAACTGTGCCTATCAAATGATCTGTGCCTAAACAATGTCATATTAAAACATTCCTGGAGAATAAAGGAGTAATTCTGCCTAGATATTTGCGTTGATATCTCTGGTTAGAAAATGTATCATAGAGTTGGGAAGTGACTCTCTCTAGATCTCACAGGTAGCAGCTTGCTGTTGTGATAGTTTTTATGGAAATACTAGTGGAATTAATCAGGGATGAATTACTTAATAGAGGCTAAATATTTTGGATAGAACATAAATAAGTTGCTAATTGTTCTTATAAAAATAGCCAGTGTAGTTCAAGGATTTTATTAATTCAGATTACTTAGTACTTAAGAGTACTTGAATTCAGAGTACATAGTTTACTGCTGGTTTGCACATTAAATCATGTCTGTTCTGTTAACGCATTTGCAGATCATAAGCATTTTGCAATATATCTTCATTTCTTCTCACAAACCTATTTAGTTGAAGAGCTTGAAACCCAAATTTATGGCTTTCTCCTGTATTAATTTTCCAGTTTTAAAAGGCCACATGAAAAAAAGGAGAACAAGTGAATGATCAACAGCAAGGTAGATGGATTCCATTGGTGTTGCAATGTGTTCAGTGAAAGACTTGGAGGACCAGGTTGGGGACAGATCATCCTGGAGAAAATCAGGGTGGTTGTTAAGATTAACAGGGGCTTGATGGCACATAATCATTGTCAGTTTTAAAGTCCTGATCCAGTTGTTCTCCATTTTAGTTGGGCTCATCATCTACAGTGTTCCTGTCATTTTAGATTTAACATTCTCATGTTTGGAAGTAATTAGTAAACAAAAAGTGGAGAAGGAATGTCTCCTATTTATACTGCTTCAGAGATAGTATTTGTTCTGTATATCACTTCTAGATCAGTAGTGCTATGTCCAGTATTCCTCCAACTAAATTAAAAACTGAACTCTTTATTCTTTATGAGACAGGCATATTAAGAATGTGATACTGTGGAGAACTGTCTGCTTTGAACTTGCTAAAGTTTAATAGAACAGAACTCCCTTGAGATAGTAATTCTGTCACATTGCCATCTGTGATTTGCAAAATCTGAGGAGAAGAAGTGTACATTAGTGGGTACAAAAAGGTTGGACTTTAATGTCTGCCAGCCACATTCTTGTGAGTTGTAAAAATTCTTGTGAGTTGTAAAACTCAAAAAAGTTCTGATTTCTGGTTAATGTCATGGGGTGGGAGGATACATAGGAATGTAGCATATTGTTTCTTAAATACTATTCGGTATAAAAGTTGAGACGCCAAAGCCCTGAGCCCTTGCTTAGATGTTTAGTAGCATGAAAGACAATGAAGAATTTGTAATGTCAGCTTGAATTGTGCTGATGTGAGTTGCATGATGAGTAGAATGACCCGCCTTCCCCCTATTTCCCACCCACCAGGCCTAGAGAGCAACTAGGAATTAGGTTTTGTGCATAGAGCTCCAAGTGGATTTTGTCTTACATTAATTAGGGACTAGTTTCCACAGCCATACTGCAATACGATAAGGGTCTGGCTAAGAACTGCAAATGTTTCCACCAGATTGCCATTTTTATGGGACATGACAAAATAGTTAAATGCAAGTGGGAGAAATGATTAGAACTGTGTATTATACACATATTGAAGATTAGTTTTTGTCTAGGCCTGATTACTTTCATGGATACAGTCCCTGGCATGTCACTCAGAGGCTGAGTGCAACCCTTGACCTAAAAAGCCAAGTTCTTGACTCAAGCCTTTGAATAAAATCTGGTTGTTTGAGACCATAGTATTTCAAACTCTGGCAGATATTTGCATGTTTAGTTATTGCTTTTCCTTAATTCTTTTAGTGAATCCCTGCCGACACAGCTTTGTCACCCTTTTTTATCATCTGTGCCAGGCCTTTGTGACCCAGTCTATTTGGGTCACAGAAAAAGTCTGTGGGTTTTCAGCAGCATTGGGTCACACTTCTCCCCTCTTCCCCTTCACAGGATCAATTTGACAGGATTGAGCGCCACACCCAGTGGGGCCTGGACCTGATGGACAGATATGTCAAATTTGTGAAAGAGCGGACTGAAATTGAGCAGGCATATGCGAAGCAGCTGAGGTAGGTATGAGGGATTGGGGGTGGCAAAGGGGGTGACAGATGCTTGGATTCAAGTTTTAGGGAAGAGAAAGAATCCAAGAACTTATGTAGTTTAGCTCAAGTATGGCTAAAGTCACATACAGTATGGCTATCTCATACTGTATGTGATTTGAGATAGATGAAATGTAGAGAAAGTAGGAAAAGTCCTATTAAATAAGAATAGTTTCATCCAGGCTGGTATATTAACATTTCCATCTAACAAAATCCAACAGTCTGAAGCTGCTTAAAAGTCTAATATTGAAGTGTAATCATGTTTGAATGAGGCAGTGTACCTTTTGACAGCGTAGATATGAGTTCACTCTTTGTTCCATTTCAAGTCAATATTGTATGTTGTGCATGTTATCTCTTTTGCAGAAATCTTGTGAAAAAGCACCTTCCCAAGAGGACGTCTCGAGAAGATCCAGACACAAAGTAAGCAGTGAGCATAAGAGTTTAACTGCAATGAAGCCAGTGCTGTACATATTTCAAGCAGACAAATCTTGTCTGTTTTTAAACTTGAGCTTAGCAAGATCTGGCCAAGATGACTTTGCAAATTGTACACAGCAGCAGTCGTCAAAGGAATGCCTAGGAAGCAGCAGCACATGTGATCCAAAGTTGCATCCACTTTGCAGAACTAATATGAGCATCAGCAGGAAGACAGATGATGAAAGGGAACATTGCAACATAAACCACATGACTTAACATACTTGATTCTGAGGTTTATAAATATGAATGAAGTCCTGTGGGGCTCACCATTCCAGTCACTTGGTGAAATTTAGCATTGGTTAATGTTATTGGACTGACTGGGCAGCAATCAGCAATCTAGTCCACATATCCAGGAAATGGATTTCTTGCTCCAGGAAGTAATTTCTCTCAATGTGTATGCTTTAATTATTGATCTTGCAATTCAGATTTATCACTGGCAACTGCTTTCGTTATTCATTGTACTTAGTATGTATGCCCATGTTCTGATGGCTAATATGAGTTAAAAAAAGTGAAGAAAAAGAAATACCTAGAATATAGTTCTTACATAATTCTAAAGGTGCATCCAGGAAAGTTACAAAACTTTGCATAAAAACTAAAATCCTGTGCCAAATCTTCATCATCTTAATAAATTGGGTACAGACTTAACCCATAGGTGTGTGGGTTTTTTTTATAAGAAACATAGACATAAATATAATGGCTACATTCAGTTCAGACTGTCAATATAAGGACGTTAGTTTAGGTGCAGTTAGTATCTTTGTGGGAGGTCAATACATTTATGAACACAAGAAGGGCAAACAAAATTGTATTCTGTCTCCAGCAGAGAATGAGGAAATAAAAACAGTCCAAAAATAGTTCTGCTACCCAGCAACTAATATTCTGTGGTTGTTCTGTAGTAGTCTTTTTTCTGAAGAGATGTAACCATCATGGCTAAAAGCAGTTAGTGGTGGATCTTCAACAAACTGGCTTAATTGCTTTTTAAATCGGGCCTGGTGGCTCAGCAGACTGATAGCATTGTGATTAACACCAGCTGTCTGCAATTACTGTAAGTAACCCAGGCTCAGAGTTGACTCAGCCTTCCATCCTTTCTAAGGTAGGTAAATTGAGGACCCAGTTTGTGGGGGCAATAAGCTGACTTTGTATAAATATACAAAAGTATGAAGGCTATTGCTTAACGCATTGTAAGCTGCCCTGAGTCTCCGGAGAAGGGCGGCATATAAATCAAATTTTTTAAAAAAATCATCTAAGCTAGTGCCAACTAAAAAATTACATCTTTTTGCATCGTATTCCATGCATACATGTAGCTATTTTTGTTAGCAATATATTCAGAAGAACCACTGTCTCATTAAGAAGGAATCATCCATTGGTAAAGGGAGAAAACTAGTCCTTTTTTCTTTTTCTACATTTTTCTACATTTCCATGCTTTAAAAAATGTACATGTTCTCCCTCCCAAGTTGTCTTTTTACTAAACTAACCCCAAATTTTAGGGATATCAGGGTTGTCCTTATGCCTTTTCTTATCTCCATGCTTGTTCTTATCACCTGTATCTTCATTGAACTGTGAAGGACTACACTTCATTTTCATTGAAGTATAGTCCTGGAAGTTCTTTCTTGTTTTGAGGAGGAGGACAGTGTTCTTTGTTACAGGTTAAGTTTAAATAAGTGTCTTTTCTTTGTAGGTTTTGTCAATACCATGCTTTCCTTCAAGTGGTGAAGGAGCTGAATGACTTTGCAGGCCAACGGGAAGTCATAGCAGAAGACCTTCTAGCCCAGATCTGTGTGGAGCTTTCCAAGGACTTGCAGGAGCTGAAACAGGAAAGGAAATTGGTAAAATTGTTGGGAAATAAACTGTGGCAGCAAGACATCCAGAATGGTAGTTCAGCTAGTAAGGCGGGGATCAAACATCAGGTTTTGATATCTTATGCCTTTGGCTTGAGAGTTGTGTATTTTGATTTCCTCAGCATCTTTATTTTTGACGGTCCACTGAGAATCTGGTGTCTGTAAAGACTGATTTTCACTTTATTCCTTTTTGAAGGTCTGTCATTCATGGAGACCTTCCATGCTACTTCCCTGTTGTTGGTGGTTATTGCTCCTTTTGACAACTAGAGTTTGTTTTTCTAGATATTTATGGTGCTTGCATATTGCATAAAACACTAATTTGTTAAATAGGCCACAGTAAATTTTTCAGAAAAGTAAATATGCTATTTGACCAATAGCACATTGGTTGGTTTTTCCTCTCTTTTTAACTGCTTTTGTCTTTCACCCCTATTAAGAAACTTTGGCAGGACAAAGCAGGAAACAATAAACAAGTTGTGTGTTTCAGCTTGCATGCTGTAATAAGCCACAGTTTCAGTAAATAAGATAACAAATCATAGCTTCAAAGTCTGCTTTATTGCCCTAAAACGAATCATGATTTTTTTTTCACCAGTCTTTACTGCGTCTTTTATGATCAACATCTTCAAACAATGAAGGCCCAGGATTGTTTTAGAATGTTGTTGGGTTTTTTTGTTTATTTTGGTTTTGTTTTTTTGTTTTTTTGGGGGGGGGGGAGGATGCAACGGCTGATTGGGATAGTGCTTTCTAATTTATGGAAATTTCAAAATTTGCTTGCCTGGTGGCATGGAGGGGGCAGCAGTTTGAAGAGTAACTGCAGCTATTTATTTTAAAGATGCAAGAGTTCCAATTACAGATCTCCAAATGGCACAAGTTGTCATTGTGTGATTTTGCTCTCAGAAAGATTTCTGCAGTGCAATAATCTATCTTGTCTTCTGGTGTGTGCAGATTTAAAGAATGCTTCAGTGTAGGAATTATAGCAGCACATTCATTATTATTGTAAAATAAAGAGGAATGATTCCAAGAACTTCCCAGAAAATGATGATTCTTTTCTGAATTGATAGGACTTCTGATTCCTAGTCATAAATCTTGGTGCCAAACTCCCCTCTTGGCAAAGTTGTGTTTGGATCTCTCAGAGTTTGAGTGGCTAGGAAGATGTTTTAATAGCAATTATTCACAATTTGCTGTTCAGGTATTTTGTTAATGCAGTATTTAAATATTTATTTTTTATCATTTATTTAAAGAGTAATTTATATGTATCTCCATCTCAGTGGTATTAGATCTCAGATCTGGAAGAATGCATGAATTATAGATACTCTTAGGATATTATCAGTGCAGGATCCCCTCATTCACCTCAGGTGTTTCATGTTTAGATATTTCTTAAATATCCCCACCCCCCTTCATTTTTCTATTTTTGGGATTTAGCTATAGATATTCTTGGAGATAAAATATGTAAATGAAAAATAGATTTTGTGAGAGCAAAAGCCAGCTTTGATGTAAAAGAAGCCACAGAGCCATTTGATGTTGGAAAGCTTTTTGAGGTTGATTTCTGGGGTTGTTGAAGGTTTTACTCATTGGAAGTATTATTGTCATCTAATGATTTGGGGAGGGAGATTCAATGTGTTGGGAGTTTATATGTATCTCCATCTCAGTGGTATTAGATCTCAGATCTGGAAGAATGCATGAATTATAGATACTCTTAGGATATTATCAGTGCAGGATCCCCTCATTCACCTCAGGTGTTTCATGTTTAGATATTTCTTAAATATCCCCACCCCCCTTCATTTTTCTATTTTTGGGATTTTAGCTATAGATATTCTTGGAGATAAAATATGTAAATGAAAAATAGATTTTGTGAGAGCAAAAGCCAGCTTTGATGTAAAAGAAGCCACAGAGCCATTTGATGTTGGAAAGCTTTTTGAGGTTGATTTCTGGGGTTGTTGAAGGTTTTACTCATTGGAAGTATTATTGTCATCTAATGATTTGGGGAGGGAGATTCAATGTGTTGGGAGTTCAAGAACTTTTCATAATAATTTTCTTTCTCTTAAATTCATTTTTACTTCCCAGTATCTGCAAGAAGGCCGAAGGGCTCAACAGCAGCTAGAGAATTCCTTCAAGCAACTTGAAAATGTGAGTTCTGATTTTCCCGTAGCAGTTTAGATTAACATTCAGGTTGTGTGCCAGTTGTAAGGATTCTGTATTTTTGTCTTTGAAAACTGAAAGCTTGTTTGCTTGATTCATATTTCAAGCAGGATCACAGCTGTGGAGGACACTGTTCCCCCCAGAGGTCTCCAAACATGGATGGAAACATTGCTTGGAAAATAAATGGAGCTTTTTTTATTCCAGCAACAATTCCGCTATCCAATCTTTAAAAATTCCTTGGAGAATTTGTGCATACAAGGAAATGGTGACAACATCCAGAGTGCATGTCAAGGGAGAGGAGGAACTTTAGGCTGTTGGTCCTAGAAAGCAGCTCTGTTTTGGAAATTTCCAAGTCTTTCTGATCTCACTTTTCCCAACCTGATGCCCTCCAGATGTGCTACATCTGTCACCCTGTAATCCCAGACCAGAATAGCCTGTAAGGCAATTGTAGCTCAACCTAGCTTTCAGCACAAAATTAGGGGAAGCTGCTATAGAGTTTTGTGTATTGATAAAAACAATGATCATTGGGTTAGTTTTCTAGGGAGAAAAACCCCATTAAAGTAGAGTATAGCTTTTCAGAGACAAAAGCAAAGTCTTTCTCTAGGATTGTTTTCACTGATAATGTCACACTAATGTAAACAGAAAACTAGCAATTCTTGTCAATGCTTAATGTTTTCAGGGTGTGCCTTTCTGCATGATCAAAATAAATGTTCGTATGATTGAATGTTTCTATTCAAAGCACCAGATTTTCATAAAGTACAAAACTGTGCACATCATCAGAATGTGTGTCCACATGTAGACTAAGCATCCATATTGAATAAAACATCTACAAAAAGTTGTATTTCCAAACTCAGAGTATATAGTTTCCCTGCTGTTCTTTGTTTTGTTTTCCCTAGATTAGTTCTGTCTGCTTCCTGAGTTGGGGTAGAGGCCAATATAGAACCCCTCATTCCTGGGCAGGTCTAACCTTTTCCTTAAGTCTAATCTCGAAGACATGGATAGAAGTTGATGGGACAAATAAAAGTGCTAAACCAGACATTTCAGTCAGTTAACTTCAAGGGACCTTTTCTTGCTTTAAACCAAAAGGCAGTTTATTCTCACCAATAGAGTATCTACAGATTAGGTCTGAATCTGGTGGGAAAAAGTGAGTAGCTGAGATGGTTCTTTCATTATTGCAGTTTTTGAAGGTAGTTGCTTAAGTACTTGCCAAAGATCCTCCAGTTGATAACAGCAGTTCTGCTCCCTCTTTCAATACACTTCTATTTATATCATGAGATATAACAGTCTGAATCTCTTTTTTAAGCATATTTTTAAAGATCAGAAGCAGAACCCCTCATCCTTTTTCCAGTTCTTACTTAAAAGCTCAGAATGGCTAATCAAGTCACGCTTATGCAGTGATTGTTCATAGCTCAAGTGATGAGTCTGTTACCGAAATGGTATTTCAAGTCATTCCCACTTGGGTAAGCCAGCAAAGGGAAAGCATAGCAATGGGCTGCAGGCAAGGGCAACACTCTGGTGCTTTTCTTCACAGAGCAAACGCAAATTTGAACGTGACTGCCGGGAGGCTGAGAAAGCTGTGCTGAATGCAGAGAAGCTGGATCAGGACATCAATACTACCAAGGCAGATGTGGAGAAGGTCAGCATCTGGACTGTGCCGCTGCTTCCCAGCCCCAGGGGTAGTAATGAGGACTTCTGTAATGGAAGCGATGATTATGATCCTGACTCATTTGTGCTAAAGCCCAGGAATGGCGCTCTGCTGTTGAACTTTCTGCTGGTTATGCTGGTGTTATGTTTCTAAGCAAATGATGGCTTGTTTCCCCAGTAAGTCATAAAACCTGAGGCATATCTTGGGGAAAAAATTTTTGGAGAGAAAGAATGATGCCAGTTTATGCCAGCTACCCCCCCTCCCCCCCCTCACCCCCAAAGCACCAAGAACAGCAATCTATTGTCAAAGCGGTCCTTTGAAGTCCCAGATGCACTGGACTTGCATCTTCCAGATAGGAGGTATCTTGGAAAATGATACATAAGTCACTTCTAGTTCTTTTGGAGGAAAGTTTAAAAGTGCAGACTTTTTTAAAAAAACTCAGTTTCCAGAATTTTGCCCACAATTGTTGAAACCTTGATGGGGGGTTTAAGCACTTGGGGTTGGGGGTTTGGAGCACCTGAAGAAAGTGGTCCTTAGTTCTAACTGGTAGAGAAAGTAGAGTGCTCTTGATTCCACCTGGATGATCATTTGCTATTGAGGGCCATCAAATTAAACAGCACTGAGACAAAGAACAAGATTGCCTAAAGTGCATACTTCAATAAAGAAAATTCAAAGCTGGATTGTATTCTTCGCTTGTGGCTTTGCTTGAAATATGGTTTTCCTCTCATCACTGCCCCAACTTTTCCCAGGCCAAGCAGCAAGCCAACCTGCGTAGTCACATGGCTGAGGAGAGCAAAAATGAATACGCTTCGTATCTGCAAAAGTTCAATCACAATCAGAACCAGTTTTACTTTCTGGAGATGCCACAGATCTTCAATGTAAGTCTCTAAGCAGTTTCTACAATTTTTTCTCCTAAATTGATGCCCTTTTTCTGTATTAAGCAGTCCCTTGAAGTAGTTTGTACAAGCAGTAATAATGATCGTGAAATAAAAATAGTAAATCGTCCACTCCAAGTGCTTCTAAAATAACCATAATGTGAAAGGCGAACAATAGATACAGATCTAAGAATTAATCAAACAGCAGCTAAAGTCAAGGGATCAGATCAAATAGAAGGATTACAAAAAGACTGGAAAAGGAAAACAAAGATCTGCAGTAAGTCATCAGAGAAGTCCAGGGGATTATACTTCGTAGCTCCCACCCTGGAGGCAGTTCCTAGAATCAGGTCCTAGAATGGCTCCCTCATCCTGACTCAAAACTAGAGGCTTTTTTTCCAGCAGTATCTCAGTCTGCTGCCAGAAAGTTGCTGTGATGATCCGTAACTGTAACTGTGATCTTGATCACTAAATTCCTCTTGGGCTAATAAAATCTGTAAAGAGTCCTTACTTGCAGATGGTCACGTGAATAAGTGGGTCTTTGAATATCACTTAAAAGTGGGGAAACAGCCATACTTCCTACCAGAAAATGTTTCCTCATGGAGGTTATTCTCCTAAGAAGGTCCTTGCCCTTGTTACTGACCTGCCAGTCAGATGGTCTCTCTGGACCAAAGCAGAGAATCTAACTGACTGTAGAGCTAATAGTCCTCCAGAGGCAACTGAAGTGAAACCTGCCCATTATGGTTGATAGTCGTGATGGTTGTAAAACAGGTCATTCACATGACCAACACAGTTTAAAAACTTTTTTGCGGTTATCATTAAGCAAATCCATTGTTCATTGTGGTATAATTTTGCCAGAAACTGAAAATCCAAGTTTTCAGCAAAACCCATCAGAAAACACAGACCATGGAACACTGAAAACTACCATAAATACAGTTGTGTTGCTGGGCAACCAAAATTTGGTCATGTGACTCCAGAGGGGCTACCCAACCTTTGGAACTTTGAATCTAGGTCATAAGTAGCCCTTAAGTAGCCATCATAACAGTCACTAAACAACTGGTCATAAGTCAAAGACTATTCGTAGACTGTAGATTGATGCCACATTTTAAACTGACCCCGAGGGGCAGTCAGCCTCCCAGAATAACTACCTGTGGTTAGTTATGAAGGTAGAAGAGCTACCTTCTGCTCAGTGGCAGCTTCCAGACTGTGAGGATAATCCCAATGCTGAGCCCATTACAGGATGCAGTATTAAAACTAGAGTCTCCCAGTCCAGAGAGAAATTTGGGAAAACTGAACTAAGAATATTGGAGGACATTTCATGTTTAATTGCTTGCTTAAGATTAACAACATTATTTTCTAATTTTAATATTCTTTGTATACTATCCCCCTCAGACTCTGGTAGCTCACCAACACAAAATCCATAATAAAACCATAAAGCCATAATCAATATCAAACATAATCATCAGAGACCATATATAGCGACCAAGATCTTTGCTACCCTATTGTCCAAAGTATCAACAAAAAGCATTGTTTTTACTAGTGTCCTAAATGGCAGCAAGGTCATGCTAATCTGGGGGGAAGAGGGGTACATTCCACAGAGTCAGGATGGACTTGGAAAAGTCTTCTGTCAGCATTCCTGACTCTTGAACCATGTGAGGGAGTGAAAGCAAAAGCATGGCATTCCCAGTTAGAATTTAACAGATAGGATAGATTCTACTCAGAGCAACCATTCCTGCAGAAACTGAGGACCTAAGCTATAAACAGCTTTATAAGAGGTGATCAGTAATGCAAATGTGCCCAAAATCCCTTTAGAAACTGATGCTGCTCTTGAAAACTACGTATTGGTCAGTTAAACCAGGTTTGGCCATTTTATGCCAACTATAGTACCTGAGTAGTCTTCAAGAACAGCTTCAAGCATCATCCACAAGATCATGAGGGCAGAGCACCTTAGTCCAGGAACAGCCTATCTGATTGCCAGCTATGAAGCTGGGCAAAGCTTCTAGCCATGACTTTCACTTGTTGCAGGAGTGGTTAGCTCTGGGATCCTCTAGATCTAGTTTCTGGGGAAGTGCAAACCCATCAGGAACAAAACATGATGTTACCCATGGATCCAGGTGTTCTCGCCACTCTATCTTGCTAAGATTAAATGTAAGGAACTTTTGTCCAGTCCAGCTTCCCATAGCCTAAAGACACTGAATTGAAGCATCCATGGTATCTCCTGCCCAATCCTGAATATCATCTCCTCACTGATGATACTTCATCCAGAACTGACAGATGACCTCTCCCAATGGTTTTGCATAGATGTTAAGTAGGATGGGAGAGAGGCCCAGGTACTGAGGCAACTCACACATAGGCTCATACATACTACATAGTCTTTTAATTAAAAAGTGATTTTGGAAACTGTTGTGCTGCAAAGCAAAGCATCATCCCCTTGTATTAATGTCGTAATTCTTTGCAGAAATACCTAAGGGGCCCAGAAACATTACAGTGGCGTGTTTGAGACTATTCTGGGGTCCAGCTTAGCTTTCTTGTCAACTTGTTAGTGACTGACCATATCCATTGTGGCTACTATTTTGTGAATAAGAAAGTCTCCTGTAGTGTTATCTAAAGCAACAATAATTGGGTATTGTGAATAATCCTCATATCTCAGTTATTGTTTAGTCCTTTTTTCTTGCTTGTTTTCTAGAAGATGCAAGAGATGGATGAAAGGCGGACACGGCGTCTCAAGGGAGGCTATAGCATCTTTTCAGAGATAGAACAGCAGGTCATGCCAATCATTGGCAAATGCCTGGAAGGCATGAAGGCAGCTGCAGAGGTGGTTGATGAAAAAAATGTAGGTGTCTGAAAATATCTTATTCCTCCATGTATAGTAGAGGCTGAAAAGAATGTGGATTTTCTGTTAACCCTAAATCTTTCCAACAGTGGCACCTAATATCCTTTGCCTGGGGAAGTTGGGTGTTTTATTTTCCTGACAAATATGTTTTCTGCCTTTGAATTTGCTGGTTGTGCTCAGAAACAGTCCTGTTCCTGATACTGTGGACGGGCACCAGGAAGGGATAACTTATTTTGTTTAATTAAAAGGTATTCGATTTCTTCAACATGACATTCGTTCTTTGACCTTTACTTGAGAAGTTACATTTAAGCTACTCTTACGACTGCATGACTGAAATGATGCTCTTAGATCCTATTCTTGATCAATATGGAGCTTTGCTACTAATCTCTATTGCAGGCTCAGTTGGAGTTGGGTTGACAGTTTTTGTGTGAGCTTTTTCCTGTTTTATTTCAAAAGGATGCTTTTCTTCTGTTAGGACTCGCAAATGTTAATTGAACTGCACAAATCAGGTTTTGAAAGGCCAGGAGACATGGATTTTGAAGACTTCAGCCAACCCATGAATCGCACCTCTTCTGATAGCAGCTTGGGCACTCCCCGGGGCACACTGGACGGCCGTCTGGATCCCCGACTGCTAGGCAAGAACAAGGGAAAACGCTGGCTCTTCAGCAGGAAGAATAAGGTGAGAATCGATATAGAGGGCTGGCAGCATCCTGAAGGTAATTGAGAATGATTGGTCTTTTGTCACCTCTCCCTTAATATTTCCTGGATTCACAGACCAGCAGTATCTGGGGGCAGGAATAGAGGGAAGGAAGAGGATAATCACAGTGTTGTTGGCGTGTTTGAATATTACCCTGAAATCCTGGATTTCCATAGCAGCCCTATTGCATTTAATTGCCCCTGCCTTTCAGTCAGCTGGCCTACCACAGCAGATCTCTCAGCTGAAATATCCTATGGAACTCTGCAAGTTACCATACTAGCACTCATTGCTACCTCCATTCATTCTTTAGCTGACTTCTTTCTTCTTTCCAGCTGTTTGCACCAGTCCTCATGAAAGAGCTTCGTTTTCTGACTTTCTAAGTCAAAACAACGCTGCTCAGGAAAATCTGGGCCAAGATAGAGTTTGGCTATTATATCTGCTGCTGGAGGGCCTTAGCTAGAACATCCCTTCCCTCTCCGCCACTGGATCTCATCAGCCTCCTGTTGCTCAAGGCCCTCCCACTGTGGAGGCCTTGGACGTCTGCCCTAGAACGGCATATTCCAAGAAGCCATTCCCAGCTGCCCCTGTCATTTTCCTGCAGTCCCTAGATGACCCCGTGGGCTTGTGAGCTGGAGATGATGATGTCAGAGGCGAAGGGCTGCTTCAGGGATCTCTCATTTTGTTTCCTACTAATTTTCCCCAGAGGTTCTTTCATAGCCTTTGCAAGGACACTATTTCAGCCGGCCTGTGCTTTACCAAAGGCCTCCTTTTTCCCCACTTGCCATGGCCATCTTGATAGTCCTGAACTCTCTTGCCTTATATCTGAACTGAGCATGTTCTCCACTCCTGTCATTTTAGTTCTGAGTGCAAATGTTTTTTAGCCACATCTGACCTATTCATCTTGCAATGCAGATGCTGCACAAAAGCCAAGCTCCACGGCCTTTGCTCACATCTATAATTGGCCTCTACTTTGCCTACATCTCTGTTTTCCTACATAATTTCTTCCATGTCCTCCGTATTGCCTCCTTGCCTCTGTGCATATGTGAGCTTCACTGCCTCTTATCCTTGACTATTCATGAATGACTTCAGGGCAGGAAAGACAAAATTACATTCCTGAATTCTCCCCTAAGGAGCTTGCTAAGCTGCTTTTGAGCCTACCAGAGATACCTGGAGGGTGGTTCAGTAGTGATCCCTTTCACTTTCTAGACTAATTACTGTGTTTCAGAGCAACCTGTTTATAAACTGTCTCAAATTACTTTCTCTTGCCCTAATAAACTATATGAGAGAACAGTTGCATTCCTTAACTTGCAAGTCAACATTAAGTGAAAGTTTGCCTGTTTAGTGTGTGTGTATACCGAAGCTTGGCAAACATTATAATTGATAAAGCTTTATATTATTAAACAGAAGTCCTTTTTGGTTGCCTAAACAACCTTAACTTAGTACATATTGTCTTTATTGTACTAGAGAAGAGGGTGGAGAGGAAGCAGCCTTGCCTAAGGCAAATATGACCAGTTCAGAAGTGAGGTGAGATTTGATCAGTCTCATCCTGCTAATATAACTCAATGCTATTTGGATTATTATCTCCTACTTAGAGCGTTATATCTTGTCAGCAGTGCTTCAAGAGAATTTAGAGCAAAATGGACAAGTTCTTCTGAGCTGAACAGGCATTTCCATATCTATAGCCATCTTAAATTGGCTGCAGCAAAGATGGATCTGCATTGACCTTGGAGAGAAGATAGATGGTTGGGAAGATAACCAGCTTCTTCTAGCCTAAGCACCTACCAGATATGTGGATTTCAACTCTCAGAATTCCTCATATTGGTGATTCAGTTGTAGCTCCCTGTGAATCATTCCATGAAAAGGCAACAGGGCACTTCTGAGAGCCTGAAGGTGCTTGTCCAGCACTGCTCTGCAATTCCTTAACACACTGCACTTTTAATGGCATTGGGCAACAGCAGCACAATCCCAGGAAAAGACCCAAGACCTTGAAGGAGTGAGATGGGTTAAATGCATCCTCTGAAGTGCTGCACAGCAGTAGCCTCTGGCTCTCCTCAAATGCTTTCCATCTTTGGCTACTAACATTAGATCTCTTCTCTTCAGACAATAACTTTGAAGTTTAAGGCCAATTTAGCCCTCCCACAGATTTTGAGAGCCAGATTACCAGACTGGGGATGAGGGGGGAGAAGCGGGGGGCGGGGAGGGGGAGGCGGGGAAGGAACTATGCCATGTTGCCCTGAGATATGCCAATGCCAAGTTAGCTCTGCATCTTGCCACACTCCTCATCTTTTTTCATTTGCTCCCCGGTGGCCAGGTGTTTCTGTGCCTTGTGTGCTGTTGTCTCTTTTCCCCATGTATTCTTGGGTTTTGTTACAGTACATTCCTGTTATATTGGACCTCGTGGATTTATAGTTATTGCCTTGTCTGGCGAATATGGTAGCCGATGTAACCCACTGTTTCTACTGAAAGCAAATGGCTAGCAACCCCTCTCAACTATTGGCCAATGTAGTCCTTTCTATTAGGAGTATATATGCAATATAGATGGAATGTACTGTAGTTTTTCTGGTGGCGGGATTTTTTTGTATGTGTGTCTTTTTATTTTCTTACAACATATTTTTCCCATCCTTTTGTGTGTTTTTTTTTCTTTATTTCTTGTTCATGGCCCTTATCTGTCGCTAGCTCCCAACCCCTCCCCTCTCCCCTATAAATTCCCCTTCCTCTTCATCTTCCCCCTCCTCCTCTGCCATCAATGGACCTCCATCCCCCAAATTCACCCGTGACCCTCTGTCTTACTGTTTGAACGAGATCAATAAGACAGTCAAACCCCGCATCACGTCCTTCCGCAGCCTCAAACGGGGGGTAAGTGGATAACTTTGTTTGCTTAAATCACTATCATATGTCTGCTGCTGCTGCTGTTGCCACCACCACCATCACCACCAAGGGCTACTGCCAGGTAGAAAATCAGTTGTGGTTTATGTGCTGATAAGGTGAAAATTCATACGCACTCTAGATACTAACCCTCTGCTGTTTCCTTTGAAGCAGTAATTACTCAGTTCAGTGAATATGGGAAAAAGACATTTCTAGCGGGAAAATCCATTCCATTTCCTTGTTTTACATTGGTGAGGCAGAACTAAACCAAGACTTCAACCAATTGTCTTTAGAAATTTTAAAAGGATGACAAAGCAAAAGAGAAAGCAAGAGACAGAGTCCCTAAGAGCTCTGCTGGATCAGGACAAGGGTTCGCATCCAACATTCTTGCTCCATAGCCAGGGCCGGATTTTCCTATAGGCTAACCAGGCTTCAGCCTAGGGCCTCAAGATCAAGAGGGGCCTACACAGTGGTGGGATTCTGGGGGCGGGAGGGGGCGGGGGAGCCAGCAATTTAACAAAGGGTTCGGTGTTTTTTTTTTTGTAATTTTATTGGCCCACGGAGCTTCAGCATAGGCTAATTGGCCTCCTCAGGGCTCTTCTGCTTCCTTGCAAAGAAACGAAACTGAAACTGCTTTGCTGTTGCTGCAAGGTTGGAAAATTAGGCAGGCAGAATTCTTTTCTTTTTCCTCACCAAAAAAGGTACGTGCAAACAATGGGAAATTTAGGGAAAAAGAGGAGAGTTCAGGATTTTAAAACACAAAAGAAAAAAAGCTCTATTTAACTAGGGAATTGTAATAATTGAGATACTATTAATTGTATATTGTGTTGAAAGCAGAAATGGTTAAGTTGTGGTTTGGAGGAATATATGGGGGAAATTATTTGGTTTATTATTATTGGTAAATATAATTAATTGATTTGTAAGAAATTGGATTGCATGGAAATAATTGGAATATTCATGTTCATATTGATTAATATACAAAAAAGGTAGTTATATAACTAATTGATTTATATTAAAATGTTGAATTTATATTAAACAACTAATATTACATAATTAACCAATGTGAGGATGGATATAAAAATAGATGACAATAGGAAGGGGTATAATATAGAAGGGAAAAATTGAATTTGATTAAGATTAGAGATGAGGATGAAGGGTAATATTGGTTTTTTACAAAACTAGATGAGGAATAAATATGGCAAAAAGGAAATTGTAAATTTAATTGAAATGACTAAACACTGTTTAAATTTGTGAACCGGCCAAATACTCTGTTCAAAGAAAATACATTGTATGTTTGTATGTGTGTTTCTAATTATTGTTATTTATTCATATTTGTTCTCTTTTATTCTTTAAAGTTTAACAATTCATTCTTTATCTTAATATCTTTATATTTGTTTGGGGTTGGCTTTCTTCCCTTTCATCTTTTTTATTGTACAGCAATCTTTCTCCTCAAACCTACCACCTCTCTCTTTTCTTTCCTTCTTATTTTCTCTTCCTCCCCCTCTTCTTCTCCTCCCTACTTCCTCTTCCTTTCTCCTTCTCCTCCTCTCTTCCTCCCTCTCTTACCCTCACTCCTACTCTAATTTCCCTTCCCTTCCTTCATCCCTCTCTATTGCTGTATCCTTTTATGCATATGGACTACTCAGAGGGCTGAAAAAGTTATTTCTGACTGGTCCTCGCACTTTTGACCAGTCCTCGAACTTACGACTGTCCTCACATTTTACGTTTTTGCCCTATCTTGTCACCATGGTGAAGAGAAGCAGTTGTGAAATGAGTGACATGGTTGTTAAGAATGCTACAATGGGCATAAATGATGACCAGTCATAAGTGCGAAGACCGGTCAAAAGTGCGAGGACCTGTCAGAAATCACTTTTTTCAGCCCTCTGGGTAGTCCTTTTGTGCATATGGACTACTCAGAGGGCTAAAAAAGTTATTTTTGACTGGTCCTCGCACTTTTGACCAGTCCTCAAACTTACGACTGTCCTCACATTTTACGTTTTTTGCCCTATCTTGTCACCATGGTGAAGAGAAGCAGTTGTGAAATGAGTGACATGGTTGTTAAGAATGCTACAATGGGCATAAATGTGAGGATGGTCATAAGTGTGAGGACCGGTCAAAAGTGCGAGGCCTAGTCAGAAATAACTTTTTTCAGCCCTCTGAGTAGTCCCTATGCACATAGCCACACCCACCCGGTCACATGACGAGCTACCCACGCCTACACAGTCATGTGACCAGCTAGCCACGCCCACCCAGTCACATGATTGCCAAGCCACACCCCCAACTAAGCCACGCCCACAGAACCTGTTGTTAAAAAAATTGAATCCCACCACTGGTGAAAGGGCCTCATAAGTGGAATAGCCTAGGGCCTCTTTTCATCTAAATCCGGCCCTGTCCATAGCATATGAGGAAATTAACAGCTATGGAAAGGAAAGCTCTTCACTGCCATCGTTCTCCAACAGCTAATATTCCACGCATGAGATTCTGGAGGGAGTAAGCAGCCCCAGGTCACTGATAGTCTGATCACATATGAATTTCTCTAGTCCCATTTTTTAAAATGATATGTTGGTGGCTGTAGCCATGTTTGATGGCAGCAAATTCCTCGTTTTAATTTTGTTATGTAAAAAAAAGAAAAGGCCTGCCTTTGATTACTTATGAGTCTCCCAAAAGTTTGCTTTAGCAGATGATCTCCCGATTCAACTTTATAAGAATCAAAGTGGAAAATGACTATCCCCTTTTTCCACACCATGCATGTTTTTATATATCTATGACATTACCACTTCCCCACCCCAGTCCTAAAAAGTCCAGATGCTGTAGCTGTCACTTCAATTGCACTTCTTGCACCCGGTTTCCAGAACCTACTTTAGGTGCTGCTCCTCCTTCTCTTCACCTGCCCATGAATGCCATAGAGTAGTTATGGTGGGAGAATGTGGAATGTCCATTGAGTAAAAAGGAAGATCAAATGACCCCTTAAGAAAGTCCCTGCCTGAGAATTGGATTATCTGCTCTGCTTCCCTTCCTTTTTTTTTTTCTTTACACAAATTGGTACTCCCTACTTCACAGTAAGCAAAACTTCTGATTTTGATTTTAATTATATTGATATTACTGCTGTGTTTTATACTTTGTTTTATTTCTGTAACCTGCTTTGAGTACTCATGTAGACAAATTTATTTATTTGTTTCAGAAGCATCATTAAAATTTTATGTGTAGATATAAGTACAAGAACATAAAATTTAAAATTGTAAAAGAAGTATCTTAGCAGATGTAGGTAGAGATGGGGTATTAATTGACTGCATTCCTGTAATTTTGCACACATGCACATGCTTAGAGTTATTCATGGTTAATATTTTAATACTACCCTTCCCACAGTCCATGTCCAAACCAATTCAATGTGTAACTACAGGAAGATAATGCTTAGTTGCTCTAATTCTCAGGGAACTGTGGGCTCATTTTCAGTTTTATTTGGCATCTGATTCACACATTTTGTCCTGGGAAGAATGGGAATACAACCTGTCTGAGCCTCTGTCCCAAGAGAGACATGCATGTCATAAAAGCAGAAGATTTGGAGTGAGGAATTTGGGAATATTTATGCAACTGGGCAAGGTCATAGACTCCACATGAGGAAGGTAAAAATCCTCTGCCCTAATATTGTCAAATTAACTTGAAGTAGATTTAACAGCAACCACTATGATCAATCAGATTATCAATATAGTAATTCCTTAAGGAAGTCATAAGGAACATATTATTGAAAAATATCAAAAGACTTGAATCTAGTCAGCCTCAGTACACAGCAAAATCTCACCGTTCACATTTTCATGGCAAATATGGCTCAGAGGAGGTGGCTACATTTCCAATGTTGAATGGTTGCAGCACATCCAACTAAGAATCATTGTCTACTCATAAGCAATTACTGGCTAAGACTTCACATTGATTTTCAATTCAGAGTCCTGTACAGCATTGTTCAGGGTTACTTGAAATAACATTTTCTCTGTGGGTCTTCTCCTTGCCCCAAGCTAGGTGCTCCAGGTCTCTTGAAAATGTGTCCTCCTGAACTGAAGACCCTAAATGTTTGATGACTTTTGAAAATACCTTAAAATTGCAGATTTTCAGCAGGTTTTTAATTGTTTAATTCACTTCCAATGCTTCGGGGCTTAACTTGTTACTGTAAAAAATCTGTGATAGTCAATGGTATAAATAATTAAATAAATGTCAGTAAGTGAGAATGTAAGGAATAAGTCACAACGTTCTGACATCATTGTTGGTTTATTTTATTTTATTATTATTATTAAATAATAATACCACATGAGGTTGGATTCCTTCATTGTACTACATTACTACATTGTACTAAGCCACAATGTAGCTTGTTTAGTTTTGATGTACTGTGATGTGTGAGCTCACTCACTGGGGTCTTATTGTTTTGCCAATGGATCGATCACCTGTCCTCAACATAGATCTCCCAGCTATTTTGCATTCCACTGGAGAAATAAATACAATAATCAACAGGTTTGTTATATATATCACTGAAATAAAGCCACAAATAACTTGTATTAACCTTCTGCAACTGTTGTATCAGCATTTCAACTCCCAGAATCCCTAGCCTTTGAAAATCTGGCTACTGAAACCCCAAAACATTGTGGGAAAGGGGGTGGTTCAATGTTTAAAAGCATTATATATTTGAAGATTGTTCCCAGCTGTATAATCAGAGCTAAGTAGGTACAACATCCACCCTATGGTGCAACAGGATTCTGGGGCTATAGGGAATCGTTGCCTACAGCCTGTTAGTTGCCTATCTTGACTCTGAGCAATGAAAGATGATGTTTCTCAAGTGGCACACTTAGATACAGCCTGTGGGAGAAAAGTTGGTTTTGTGGACAGAGGAGAAGCATCTGGGGGGGAAATGATATGTGTCTTTTCCTACTGCCAGACTGTGATCACAGAAGATTTTAGCCATTTGCCTCCAGAGCAGAGGAGAAAAAAATTACAACAGAAGATTGAGGAAAGAAGCCGGGAGTTGCAGAAAGAGCTGGATCAAAGGTCAGAGCCAGAGCATTCTATTAATTGTCCTTCCTGTGATCTAGGCAGTCCAGAAAGAGAAGAAACCTTTTTCAAGTAAAAAAGTTCTGAGATTTCAGAAAATTGGCTCTTTCAAGCTCCATAATTAATATTGATTTGAATTCCCTGACAATCATGCCTTCATTGAAGGAGAAAAGTATCTCTTTGGTCCTTTCCTATTTGAAGATTTTGCAGCAAAGATCTTAACAACAAAGATCTTTTTAGCTATTAGTCTCACCTAACATAAAGCAAGAATCAGTGATGTGCACAGATTTGTGTTATTATTTTGCTTTTTGAAGCTGTTTTGAGCCCCAGCAAAGCCTCCCCTGCTCTTGCCACATCTCTCCCTTCCTGGTCCTGCCTCCTGCCCACCATCCAAAGGTCTCCTGCCTGCTAGAACTCTTGTCAGCCTCCTGGACTCCTTCTGCTCCATTTGTGGCTGAGCTGGCAACAGCAAATGTTCCATAAGATTAAGCAGGAGAGGAGATGAGGACAGCTGAGTGACAAGGACAATGGCTGCTGCAGTATCTGAAAGAGAAAAAAAACCAGTCAGCTCTGAGAGCTGATCCTCACTGTGGGATGTACAGGATGTGCACTCTCCTTCTGCCTGCCTCATTGGTCATGCTCTCTGCAACCCAGGACTGGGAACATCTCCTTTCCCAGTGACTTTGTAGGTTAAGTTGGACTTACCTTTGTAGGAAATTTCGAGACTAGGCCAAGATCTGTGGTCCAATCTAACAAAGATATCTCTAGCTTGTCTGAGTTTTTGCTACAAAGCCCTAGTAAAAACCAAAATAGCCCATTTTGGGCTATTCGATGGAGTTGGGTAGGAACTTGGGCAATAAGGTTAGATGTGCGTGTTTAAGCGAAAAGTATGAGAGTCCGGGGTAGGAAGAGAACCAAGAAATAAAGTTGTGCATGTCAGAGAAAAGTATGCTACTTCTTTAAAAGTAAATGTCAAGGGAGAGGTGCAGTACAGCAATTGGCCCAGAACCCCACAGGTAATATTTGCTGCAAATGGCACTCAGTCAACTTCTCCAACAATAGATTTCATTGGGCAAAAAAACCAAGGCTAGAAAGGATGACCTTCATTACGTTTTGCACTCTGGATCGCTGTGATGTAGACTTTAGCCACAAAGGAAAAGGTACACTCCAAAATTTTGCAGCACAACAGAAAGGACAACTAGTCATTGCCAAGAAAAAATACAAGTATTCTAATTAGTATGTTAAGTGTTATGGTGTAGGTTGGGTCAGGTTGAATCCTTATCATACATTATTCCTTACATGATGTGACCACCAGGAGGCAGTGTATGACCAGTTTCACCCTTAAAATTCAGTGTACTTTGAGCTAAGTAAAAAAAAAAAAAAATTCATCATTTTCATTTTGGTGATGTTCCCCTTTCTTAAGCTTACTTTCTTGCAGGTTTTAATGGATGTCCTGATCCTGTGTTTGTCACCCATTTGGGTGATATAGAGTCAATATCCAGCTAGGCCATGATGGCCCAGCTGGCCAGACCGAATCTCCTCTTCCCTCATTAGGAGTGGGAAGAGGGTATTACTAACAAAGTAGGCCAGACATTCCCCTCTTTACACCACACATACATTCCATTGGTTGCCCATTTTACAAGGGAAAAAGAGAAGTATCAGAGTAGGAGTTTAATATGTATTTTTCAGAAATCCATCTGCACTGTTAATCTAGGACAGTGTGCAATGGTTCCAGAGCTTCCAGAAGTGCAAAAGACCTCTGCCCTGTGTTATAAATACATGCTTAATTGTGCCATGGATTTTTTACCATTTATACACTGTTTTAACATGTTATTGCCCTATTACAAACATCATCAGAGCTTTTCTGAAATTTATTTCACAAAATTTATAAGCTGCTGAAAATCATAACATTAATAAACCTAATAACTAATAACTACTTAAAATAATAAATCAACCCATTGTTGTGATGGAGCAAGTTTGAATTCTATCTTAGAGGATTCCATTTTCCAAAGCATCCTTGGGGAGGGGAAAGCTGTCCAGAGGAAGAGAGCTGTTTCTGAGAAGCTCTCAAGTCCCAGCTCCTCACATTTTTTTCAGGGTGGGCATCCAGAATATCCTCTCCCTAATTAAACCATTTAGGTACCTCAGATAGTAACCCAGCAAGGTTACTTCACCAGCACCTTGAATTGGGACTGAACACCTCCTGGCAACCTGTGCAAATCTCAGAGAACAGATACTGTTATGCTAAGCCAATTAACTTGGATCAGCAAGCCACTATTCCAGCTGTAGCTTCTGAGTTTAAAGGACACTTTTCTGTCCCACTATAGTTGTTGATAATTAGTTTACTAATTATCTGTTAATTCATAAACAGAATTAACTGCTGATTATCACTGCTGATTATCAGTGTATACACATGCAGCATTTACTGTAATTGTCCTTTGTAATTTTCCACATTTAATTTTTCCATAGCTTTTAATTGGTACAGCTTTTAACATTTAAGATAACTCATAATGAAACTGAAGAAAAGTGCTCAAGTTTACAAAACCTCAATCAATATGTTTAAAGTATAGAAAGATTCTTGAATGGTAGAAACATCTACCTTTATAGCCAAAAAATATATTTTGGCCTGTTGGTGAGGGGAGGTTGGGCAAATCAAGCTAACAAAGTAATCAGCAATATTTCGTTAACTGTTTTATTAATACTAATTGTATTAATGAAGGCTTGTTTTGTTTCAAATATTTTGAGATTTGATTGCCCTTCCTTTTGTCATCTACATTGCAGTAACTTCTCTCAATAACCATTTTTGCTCTCTTCCTTGTTTCAGGGATGCCTTAAATAAGATGAAGGATGTTTACCAAAAGACACCACAGATGGGAGACCCCAATAGCTTGGAACCAAAGATCTCAGAGACACTGGGCAATATTGAAAGGTTGCGTCTAGAGATTCAGAAATGTGAAGTAAGGACTTAAAAGGGGGAGGCCATGCATCTGACTGCATTCAGAATGATTTTTCATATCACTAACTTTTGAAAATACCATCCAAGGGCAACCTTTAGAGGGTTTCTGAGAGCATTCCCAAGATTTTGGAAAGTGGCATGTGTTCCTGAAATTGCTGCTGCATTACAAGTAACTTTGTTGAATAGGATTAACATTGAATCATGGATTGAGCAAAGGGTGGCAGAAGCAGAAGTTTGGCCTGCTGAATCATAGTTAATAGATTTTGAATTGGGCTGGTTCCAGAGGAGAGTGGGATCAAGCCCTTATTAAGGAGCTTCTATGGTGACTTTTGTCATTCTGCACAGGTCAGAGGGACCTCTCAGTTAAGTCAGGCACAATGATTTCTCTGCTTGCTTGGGGTTTGCCAGTTATTGCTGGATTTTAGCTCTAGACTTCCTAGCTCACAGTGGCTTTGTGTAACTGCTCAGAGCAGTAAATAAAGCTTCTCCCGTGCTAATGAGATTTACACAAGGGAACTTTCCAGTGGGTTGTGTTTGGCAATGACCACAAGGAGCTTGGTACTCTTTTCAATTTTCTCTCCCAAGTGCTCCTCATAAATCCATGTTGCCCTGGATGGTGCTTGGCAAAGCCTGCTCAGAACAAGAATGGTGTAAACCTGGGAAGAGTCTATATGCTTTCTTTAGACCATCACGGATTGGCAATCCATTAGCCAATGTTCTGCCTTTTGGGGTTGCATTAGCAGAGCCACGTTCACATGGTTGAGGCCCCATTGCCGGCAGAGAGCCCAGGAGACAAATCCTCTGCAGGGAAACCATAATCCATGCCCACTTTTTGGCCTCTCTACAGGCTTGGCTGGCAGATGCCGAGAGCAGGATGCTGAGCAACCGCCCGGACACGGTTACCCGCTATAACCGCCACGTGGATCCTGCCAGTGCCCTGAACAATAACAACTGCTCCCATGAAAAAGACAGGTGAGAGCAAGCAGTCAAAGAAGAGCAACCAGGCAACCTCTTTGAGGTTCCTAAGATGAGGCCGAGACACTCGCACTGCAGTTCCAGCTGCCATGGTTCCTCAGGAGTAATCCCGGAGAGTGTAGTCCTGATCTGCAGGATTCCTGGGTCTTTCCTAAAGATCCAGCGGATTTCTCCTCCTCTCAAGCAATCCTTTGTTTTCAATGAAGTTAAACTGGAATTGAAGGGAAAAGCCACATCCTGTCCAGGTTTGAGGTCACTTTTTTTTTCCTTCCATAAGAAGCTGGAGACAGATTTCTTTCCCCTGACAAAACTTATCTATGAAAACAGATAGCCCTCGTTTAGCAACCACAATTGGGAATAGCAACATGGCTGTTATGCAAAGTGGTCAACAAAGTGAGAATCTTATGACCATAACTGTACACTTTTACTTTATGTTTCCTATGCTTTACACAACCAGAAAGATACACCCTCAAAAAATTAGGAAGAGGAGAATTGATATTTGCATTTACATTCATTGGAGAGGAGGGGATTACAAGAAACTAAGCAGACACAAAGTGGGGAATACACATGCAAAGGAGTGTGTTTTGTGGCTATTTGCCTAGCACACACACTATATAGGAGGCAAATAAAAGCCTTTAGTTTGAAACTGTTTAGGATCCTGTCAGTTTCAGGCAGCAATTACCAACTATTTTGGGTTCTAAACCACTCACCCACCCACCCACCCCCAATAATTAAATCAGGGAGCTCATCTTGTTAACTTTTAGGGATGCACTGTGTTGGAAAGAAAGATAGCTCAGAAAAAGATTGCTTGTTTAAACAATCTTTCCACTCTGCGATGGGGAAGAAAAAAGATCAGGTACAGGACCAGTGTTAACAGTGGAATGGCAGACACCTGACTGGGAGAGAGACACTGCAGATACTGTAAATGTGGGGATGAACATTGCAAGAGCAAACACAAGACAGTTGCTAAACAAGGACTACCTGTTGCGTAAAATGTCTCTGATGAGCCTGCACATAAAACAACCCCTAGCATATCCATTATCAGGAGACAGCATAAGATATTGCCTCCTGTTCTGACAAGCCGAAGTTGGCTTGTCCTTTTAATATTTCCGAGAATGCATCTATTCACTAGTGATATCAAGAAAAAAAGAGATTGATAGTCCCATCAGGAAGGCCAGTTGAAGCTTTCTTACAAGAAGTAATATTTTATCTTCATTATGATGGCATCAGATTAACTTTTGCTTACATCCCCTGCCCTGACTTGTAATGTAACAAAAATACCCAATATTCGCTTTTCCCCTTCTAGCCCTGACACTACTCATTCTAACGAGAGCCAGGAAACGCTCAACCAACCCATTTACACAGAGTTTGATGAGGACTTTGAAGAGGAATTGGCATCACCCATCGGAATCTGTGTGGCCATGTATCAATTTGAAGGTAGCATCTTGGCAAGCTTTTCCGGTTGCTGTGTTTGTGTGGAATAGCTGAGACCAGAGACAAACGTGCACCCTTTCTATTCGGCTAGCTTAGAAGACTGCCTTGTGAAATACACCCAGTAGAATGGGATGTATTATTCTTCATGTCTGCGATTTTGCTTATCTTGGGGAAGGAGTTTAGATCTGTCACTTTTAGGCTTTTACTCTTTCTGCCTCTCCTAGCATTATTTCCTAATCCCGCATTCCTCTCTTCCCCGTCCCCCCATGCATGATTAGTACTGTATCAAAAATTGATTAAAAATGTGCAGTTCCAATTATTTATATAAAATAATTTGGCATTGATTTAATTAATTAGGTTTAGACACTGCCTGATTCCATCTGACTGAACAGAAATGCTTTTTTAAAAAGAAAAGATATTTGGATTTTTAAATCCCAACTTTTCACCCAAGATATGAGGTAATCATTCTGGTTGACATTCTTAGCCATGTACATATCTCACTTTTATGGGAGTTTAATGGTAAGCAGGCTTCTGTTCAGAAGAGCAGTCACAACTGAGTTGTCCAAGCTTCAGCATGAAATAGCCGAAAGCTATTCACTAGTCTTGCCCAGACTATTTTTAATTGCACTGTTTTTACCACAAAGGATTGGGAACCTGCTTTTCAAAATACCTAATAATGAAAGCTTGCATCCTCAGAAGGCACGATTATATGAGGGGTTTTTTTGGTGTGTGTATGTGCTGTTTGCACCATGGCGTGCCTTCAGCATGTCAATAGTTCTTTTTCTCCAAAGGGCAATTGCTTTCTCCTTGGGAGCAGCCACTAAGTGTGTCTCTTTTGTTCCACTCTTGGAGCCATAATGGTAACAGCAGTAAAGCCACAAAGGCAAGTGTTAAGTCTGTCTTAATAATAAAAAAACAGGGCACAGTATTCATTTGATTTCCTCCCTGCATCTTCCGTGAATGTAATTTTTTCCGTCCATTATAATAAACAACTCAGTAAACTGCCAACTGCAGAGAAACTGTTTTGAATGAAAAGATTTATCAATGCCTTAAATTTTGAATTAGACAAAAAGCACTGCTTACTCTATGAAGGGTTATGTAACTCCTTAGTCTGGTTCATATCCTGCTTTAAAGCCTTGGCACATCATTCATCCATCACTGCCCCCACCCCCAATTCTGCTGCTGCATACTCTGATGGTTTGAACAGTTTTGCCTCCCAGATATTCTTGGCTTCAGCTAATCAATGCCCTTGCTCGTTTGTTTGCTTCCCAAAGGTTCCAGTGAGGGCACCATCTCCATGCAGGAAGGTGAAGAGCTCAACTTGATGGAGGAAGACAAAGGGGATGGGTGGACACGTGTACGAAGGCGTAGTAAAGCGGGCGAGGGTTATGTCCCTACCTCCTACTTGCGACTGAATGTGAACTGAGTAGGGGGCTGACAGCCAAGTTCCAAGAGCTGCACCAACATCAGTGTCTGAATGGAAGAGGTGGGGTTTCAGTTGCCTGGAAACAGCTCCATGATATTTGCTCTGGGTGAGACGGTAAAAGAAGGAATTTGCACCAAATCACTACTGCAAGACAAGAACTGACTAGCAGAATAACAAAACGATGGCTGTAGCCAGCTGAAAGCAAGGCTTCAGATGGAGTACAAGAGGGGGTTGACTTCCAGCTAGTAATTGCTCCTCCTCTCCTCCATTATCTTCATTGCAGTTACAAAATATTCCATAGGAAATACCCTTCAGCCAAAGTAGATAAAAACGTGCAATTTTGCATACAGGAAGATTCCTGAATTCATGGCTCTGGACTGTGGTAGTTGCCCCATCAGATGAAACGCGGCTGCAGTAGCAGAAAGGATTGTGGTTTCTATTTCAAGTGCAGAGCTGGCTGTCCCTCTTCTCTTTGCCAGGTTGGTCAGAGCAAAAGGCTCTCTCTCCAGAGAAAAACTTCTGCTTTTATGCTGCGTTCAGTAGACTGTGTCCAAACCTCAAGGGGATTATGGGCGCTTGGGGACTTGGGGTGGGTGTGTGTCCATATTCGAGGAGGAGACTGGGTTGGATTAGAAGCCTAGAATGTGTATCCTTAAGATTGCTGCTATGCCTGTTGTTTGACTAGAAGCAGAGAGGGAGGAGGAGAGTTGCTGGGCACACCAGTCACTCCCAGTGCTTCTTCAATTAGATGCAAGTGTCACCATAGCCGCCTTGTCTGAGGGCAGGCCAAAAGCCACACTGGCGCCAGACCAACATCTCTATATTTTTTCCTTGAAATGCACTTTATAGTTTTCTTGGATTTGATTAGCCTGGCTCCTTCAGCCATTCAAAAGTGCCTGTGCCAGAGTCTTCGGGTTTGTTTCCCCCTTGGGAATACATTACATGAGAAGCAAAAGCAGGTGGCTCTGGCCTCTTCCTCTCCCGTCTGTTTGTTTTAAAGAAGACACTAATGTATTAGTTGTTTTATACAGTGACCAATTTATTTTACCATTCAGTTTGACATGTTCACATAATCTGTAACGTAGCCTCAGCTCTTATCCCTCCAGCCTTGGAAGGAAGGGGACAAAACTTGCCCCTCCCTTCTCTCTCAAGATGCAGAATGTATTTCTGGGTGCCTTTTACACTTTATGTAAATAATACGGAGGAAATTAATTAGTGGATGCCTGTGCAGTTGCCTTTTTGTCCCTCTGGCCTCCAAGTGTGGACTTTTAACATCTGCAGCATTTACATCACTGTTTGGGAGCTAAAGGGTGATCCTCTATTTTTCCGGTTGTGCAAAGTTCACCACAGCGAAAGTGAGAGCTGGAGGAAAAAGCAGGAGGCAAATGCCACAGGAAGCCAAGGCAGCCAACAGTTCCTGCTCGCTGCTGCCTATCCATAGAACAGCACAAAGTGTGGGAGGGGAAGGAGAAAACAGGTTTGTTGTCCGACACTGGACCAGCACTATTGGTAGATCAGTTGGGGAATATTCCCCTCGCCTCCACTTGTGCTTAACCAGGCAATGCTTCTGTGCAAAAGTTGTTCGTAGATCTGGAGAGGGGCCTGAGTACTATCCATTTGGATTGGGAGGGGGTGGGGAATGCCTTACTATGGAAGTAGCTGCTAGCGTCTGCTGGACAAATAAAAACCTAAGAACTACACTGCATCAGACCAAAGACTCATCTAACATTGTATTCTCTTCCCATTGTGGCCAAGTAGAATGATCCACAACTGTAGCAATACTTTTTTGTTATGTTCCTCAGCAAAAAAAAAAAAAAAAAAAGATATGATGCGGCTAGCCATGGGTAACCTCCTGATTCTTCATTAAAATTATCCAAGTTGGTGGTTGTCTCTGGTTCATGGGAGAAAGCAGGATTCAACCATGAATCCTGTTTGAAGTCTTTCCTTTGTCATGCCTAATTCTGTAGTGACTGACTTTGGGTGCTGGGAGAAACCTTTTATGAACCGCCCTGTTATTATATTAAAAGGGATACATATAAGCTTTCTCCTTGCTTGAGCTGCTTTCAAAATCTTGTATAGGTAAGGGAGAAAACCTTTCTTAAGGCAACCTCTGTCAATTAAAGTACTTTTCTCAAGTACCATTCCAGTTGAAGAAGAAAAATTCTTGAAAGACAGGTGCAAGTTTCTTTCCATGTAAAACATGAATCATACTTTAAAAAGGAAAAATATTAACTGCAGAATTCAGCTCTGCATAATGGAAACATAACTACAAAAACAGGAAAAGTATTCCAATTGAGGAAGGTTGCTTTTCTATTCAGGATGGATTCTTGGACTCTTCTAACTTGGATATGAATGCATTTAAAGTTTTGGGTGCAGATAACAATCCTGGAAGCTGTTATTTTCTGGGTTTGGGGTCTGAAAACCAATGCTGTGAAATTTCTAAATCGGGCAAGAATAGGCAGAGAGCAAAGTTATTTTCATAGCACATACCGATTAAAAACCGTCCGCTACTTTCTTTATTGCAGCCTGGCTCCTTTGCATAGGTTAAAAATGTTTCCAGATTGCTGCTTTCCGTAGCCCTGGCCCTGTTGATCTAGCAGGAATGTCTACCACAGAGGAGTTCCTCCTGCTCATTCATTCCTTGGAAGGCCTTCAAATTTCAGCCCAGTCAACATCTTTTCCTGACACTGGGTGACTCTCCTCTTTACTGCTTACTAATCATCTTTGCCACCCATGCCTTGCATTCCAGCTGGCCAGGCAGGGGGTGGGGGGAATACTTCTCCCATGAGCTCACTCTAGTTTCTGAGAAAGAACAGTCAAGATCCGTTCAAATTTCTTGTATCGTTCACCCCGTTCCGCCTGCGCTCCTTTACTGCCCCAGAATAACCGAAGGGAGAATTCCGTCTGAAATATTTCCAGCAGTTCTGGAGTGCTCTGGAATCCTGAGTGGAGAAAAGGATGTAAAAAGGAAATATGAGCTGAATTCCGTAACATCAATCAGATACACAGAGTGCCTATCCTCGTATTAGCTAACTGTCTTCTTATGATGTTTTGTGACAACTGAGCCCAGAATTTTGGCCATAGGTTGTGATGGTTATAAGTTGAGTCACCACATGATTGGACTCGATTTTATGACAGTCATTAAATAGGTCACAATCGTTAAGTGAATCATGGGTTGTAAGTCCAAATCCATCTTATCCACTAAGCAAGCCAGTGACCAAGCACCTGAAATGTGATCACATGACTTTGGAGGTGGTGGGGTAGTTGTAACTTTGAGGACAGGTTATAAATTAACTTTTCAGGGCCCTTGTAACTTCAGTTATTAAGTGACCAGTCATAAGTTGAGAACTATCTGTATAACCGAATTCTTTACTCCAGAATAATATAATGACCATCCACACCAAGGCTGGGTTTAAATACCAAGATAAGCTATAAAATGACTTGATTTAGTTTAGAGATTAGGAATGTGGTACTCACAGATACTATGCCACTAGACGCCTCATTTTTATTAATAAAGCAACTAAAATTAAAATCAACCATCTCATGAGATTCTAATCAAGAGTTGGAGGATGTACGTTCTCATTTAAAATTTGGGTTTTTTAAAGTTTACATCTGGCCAGCCATAAAACCTATATGGCTTGCTATGTCGTGGGACTGCCATAATGGTGCACTGTTTTAAGGTGGAACAAAGATAAATTCTTAAAAAGCCTTTGCTTGACCCACTAGTTTTGCTTAGCAAAGATTGAAAAGTGACTCAGAAAGGTGTGCAGTATTCAGGTACGAACTAAGCAAAAGTCCTTCCTTTCTGGAATGAGCACTGTTGCCACACCTGTCAGTAGTTTAAGAAGCCACACCTTTTTTGGCATTTGTACTGCAACTGTTCAGGCTCAAGTTAAGGTGGTTTGACAGGATATGACTGTCACTGCCTGAACCCAATCAGGCATTTTCCTGAGTCACACCACTATCCTGCAAACCCAGGAAAAGGCTTGCATCCTTTTATGGAGCAGCCAGCTGGTACAGTAAGAATGCCCACTTTGGATCTGACTGCTGTACACTTCTAATAAATCATTAACACATACAGCATGCCGAGCATTTTACTTTTCTTGAAACTGCGGTGGAATTTGCAACTTCGGCAGCAGAGCTGGGAAAATAAGTGTGTGCGTAAAATAATCCCACTGGATATCATCCATGGAGTTCCCAGGCAAAGTTCTTTGCAATGTGTAAGGAGCAAAACAAAGCACCCATCCACTGGCTAATCACCAACCCTACCCAGTGTGGTAGGAGCAGGATAGAATTAAAACAGACATTTTGAGCCGCTTGTAGTGCAGAAGTCCAGCTGGTACAAGTCGTGCTTGCCTAAAATCACTGCTGCTTTTAGAGCTGGTGTGCTACACAGGCTAGCCAAAACTAGCTGTTAATAAACCATTGCTTTATTATCATATTTCCATCACCAAAAAGTTCAGATGGGTGGACTTTTCATTGGTTAGAAACTTACCCCAACTTTTATTTAGCAGCTCAAGTCAGAATGCATAGAGCTCCTCTTCATTTTCTCCCCACAACCACCTTGCAAAATAGACAGGACTAAGCTACTGCAGCCAAGAATGTCTTAGAGCCTGGCTATTCCAGTGCAGTCCACCACAACAGTGCTCTGACAGTTTTCTTCTGGGCTGCTATTCATGCACATGTATTCCATGTAAGAGGGCAACTAGGAAAGGGAATGGATGCTCACTAGTCAATCTGAACTGAACAACCAAGGTACATAGAGAAAGCCCAGCTATCACTGCCAAGAGCAGCCTACCTTGAAGTCTGGCCTCAGCCCTGATCTGATAAGCACCAGTGTTGGTGGCAACAAAGCGAGCTGCTTCCAATGTCCGCAGGAGGACATCACACGTCTCCTCATTGTCGTCCCATAGCTGCTCTCCTTCCATGAGACTGAGAAGTGGCAGGATATGAGGAACTGCTACCTCCTTTGCGGAGAAGACAGAATTCCCTGTAGGCCGCAGACCATAGCCTTTTAGATGACAGATGGAATTACAGGTAGTCCTTATTTAACAATTGTTCACCGTTACAGCAGTAATGTATCCCACATTTATTATTTTTACAAATAACTCCAGGCAGCAAATGTATCTATCCAACACACCTTCCTCCTCCTATTTTCCCCACAACAACCACCCTGTGAGGTGGATTGGGCTGAGAGAAAGTGACTGGCCCAAAGTCACCCAACTGGCTTTCAGGGCTGGGGCAGGACTTGAACTTAGGATCTCCCACTTTCTAGCCTGATGCCTTGGCCACTAGACCAAACTGGCTTTGCAACCAATCCTCACATTTATGACCTTTGCAGTCTGTAAAGCAAAGGAAAGGTGAAGTCAAATCAAACAGTTTTTGTTTCACTTAGCAGCCATTTTGGTTAACTGAGTTATCAGTCTCAATTGTGGTCACTAAATGAAGACTATCTGTAAACATTTTAGGGGAAAGCCTATAAACTGAGAAAGTGTGATATAATTCAGTTTAAGGCATATCTTAATCATTAATTAATAATCAAATTTACATAGCCGCCCATCTCACCAAAGGAGACCCTGGGTGGCTTGGACATTTTCCAAAAGTTGTCCCTGTATTTGTTTATTCCTATAGAGAAGTCTGACTGATGCAGAACTCACCAACTTTTGGCTGTTTACTAGATTGGGGTCAGAAAGTTTGGGAAACAATCCTGCTCAGAATAGTGCATTCAAACAGCCCAGTCACTTCTAAACAAGGTAGGTGGCACATAAATAAAATAAAATAAAATAATAAAATAAATAAAATAAAATAGTAACATAAAATAAAATAATAAAATAAAATAAAATAAAATTAATAAAATAATAAAATAAAATAAATCCTCTTTAAGTTGCATTTTAGGCAGGGGTGAAATGTAAGATTTGTTACTACCGGTTCTGTAGGCGTGGCTTAGGGGGTTAATGTGACGGTGGGCGTGGCCAACTTTTTTTAAAAAAAACTTCAAAGCATTTTTCCTGCAAATGCAAAAAAATGCTTTGAAAAGCCTCTGCCGATCAGGCAACACAGCTGGGATCGTCAGTCTTTTCAAAGCATTTTTTAAACCACCTCTTCCGCTGAAGAGGTTGCAGAAAAAAATGCTTTAAAAGCCTCTGACAATCCCAGCTGAGCCACACGATCATCAGAGGCTTTTTTTTACTTTTAAAAGCATTTTTTCGGCGGAAGAAGTTGTAGAAAAAATGCTTTTAAAAGTTAAAAAAAAAAAGCCTCTCATGATCGTGCGGCTCAGCTGGGCATGGTGGAGTGGGGGGGGCAGGGATTTTTGCTACCGGTTCTCCGAACCACCCGCTGCCATCGCTACCAGATCGGGCGATCCAATCCAAACCGGGAGCATTTCACCCAGTGGTGGGATTCAAATAATTTAACAACCGGTTCTCTGCCCTAATGATTTCTTCCAGCAACCAGTTCACCAAACTGCTCAGAAAGTTAACAACCGGTTCTCCCGAAGTGGTTCGAACTGGCTGAATCCCACCACTGATTTCACCCCTGATTTTAGGGCTATCCCTGGTGCAGTAAACTTACATTTTTGTTGGAGACATTCTTAAAAGTGACTGCAAGATCACAACATTTAAAAAGATCAAACTTTGAGTGATGTAATACATATCTTCTCTAAAAGACAGAAACTCCCAAAGCAGGGCCCAGAGTCCAAGAAGAAAAAACACTACACCCTTAAATCCAGCTCTGCTCATATTATTTTTTGTTTTAAATTTATGGGAATGGATGCATGCAACTTCAAATGAATGCAAATAGGAGTACAACTATTTCAAAACTGGTTCAATGAATATTTAATATATTTAGCTCATTAAAATGTTTACAGTCTAAAGGAGTGTTTCCAATATTGCATGGAAGCTCCCCAGATTATTTCTGTGTGGTGATATACCATGGAGCAGTTGAAATCTAAACTGACTTCCCAACAGTTCCTACATCTCAGCCCTAAATAAAATTGTGTTCATGGTGCACCAGATGGTGCTTCAAAAGGTTGCTGACTCCTGAGCTGCACATGAAAATAGAGCAATGCACCAGAAGCTCTACAGAGTTGTAGAGTTGGCCAGAATGATTGCAAGGCCCTACCTTCAGCCCTGTTCAGATTCCCCAAGAGAGGCTTGAGCTCCTTCTCATAGACGATGGCGCTTGCAGTGTGGCTCTGGCGCAGATGCCTCCATGTTTGCTCCAGCCGGGTGATCTGAAGATTCAAAAACAGGAGAGGAGTATAAATATAGCTGCCTGCACAGCCTCTGGGGTTCAGAATGGAATGAATGGCTTGGCCAGGTACTTAAGCTCTACTTTAATAAAGAAAGAGAAAGGGATATAAATATTTACATTTCAGTAGTTTAAATGCATTCCATCCTTCATTCTAACAGCAACATGTGGACTGAAACCAGAACTAGCTTCGTTAGGTGAGCTGCTTCTGATCAAGTATCTGAACTCAAGCTATACTTTTCCATCTTCTTTGTGTGGTGCATCTTAGGAGCACAAGACTAGCCTTGGCTTTGGTTCTCCTCCCACACAAGCCCACCGCCACTCCCTTACCTGGGGCAGCTGAAGAGCTTTCATCACGGCAGAGAGGGCAAAGAGGTCCCCAACTGGCCTCCACAGCTCCACTGCTAGCTGGATGACCTTGTGGAGGGTGGCAGCCCGTTCAGCCACTGACCCTGTACAGCCCAGGATGTCCACAGCAATGCCCAGAGCTATAAGATGGTGCCTGAGGATGGAAAAAGAAAGCACAAGAAATGGCGGTGCTGCTGCAACTCTCAAATACATTTTGGCACATTTTGTCACTGCTATCTGGGAAGAGTCTCACTCAAAAGCTATAACAGGATTCCGACTTGCTGCTTTACTGGCAGACCAGAAGCCAGGAGGTGGCCCAGACCAACTTTTCCATGTGAAGCCCATCTGAACTGGAGGAACATCTTCTGTCCCTCGGTCCACACTGCAGAATCCTGAGATGTTCTGCTGCAGAATAATGCACTAGTTGGGCCTTTCTTTGTATACAGTGTTAAATAGATTTGTTTGGGAAAAGCTGTTTATCAAGCACTCATAATTGCAGCAAATATGTTCTCAAATTGGGCCTTGGAAAGACTAACTAGCTTTCACCATCAGAATGATCCACTACTGAGTACCTGCAGGCTAGGGAGTGGGCCATTTGCATCTCCCTCATTTTGCTTATGTCTAAAAGAGGGTTTTATTTGCCAGCTACAGGCTATCTAGATACTATGCAGGGAAAACAGGGAAAAAAACAGAATAACAATGTTGGAAGGGACCTTGGAGGTCTTCTAGTCCAACCCCCTGCTTAGGCAGGAAACCCTGTGCCACTTCAGACAAATGGTTATCCAATATCTTCAAAAACTCCGTTAAAAAGGGAATGTGGCCAGAGTGGGAGAAGGGCCACCAAAGCACAGTAGGCAGTCAACTATGAAGTGGCCTCCTGAGAATGACTGAAACTTTGTCTTCAGGACTTTATTCCCTGCTCTCCCAGAAAGTCCTTTATTTTTAATTTATTTTTAATTTTTAAACTTTCTATACCACTAAACAAAAAAATGATTTCTATACCAATAAACACTCACAATGTGTTTGCAACTAGGCTCTACACATTTGTAATACAAAAATTAAAAACAGTGACGGTAATTAAAATAAAACCAAAACAATTACAATAAGCAATAATTAAATTACAGGTAGTCCTTAACTTACAATCATTTAGTTACTGACTGTTCAAAGTTACAACGGCCCTGAAAAAAGTAATTTACAACTAGTACCGGTACCTGCACTTACAACTATTGTAGCATCTCCAGTCACACAATCAAAATTTAGGCACTAGGCAATTAGCATATGTTTACAGTTGCAGCGTCCTGGGGTCATGTGATCACCATTTCCAACCTTCCCAGTCAGCTTCTAACAAGCAAAGTCAATGTAGGAAATGGGATTCCCATAATTCACTTAAACTACAGTGATTCACTTAACAGCCTATCAAAAAAGTTGTAAAATTGGGCATGACTCACTTAAGAACCACTTGACTTAGCAATGGAAATTCTGGTCTCAATTGTCATAAATTGAGGGGTTTTACTCCACTAGTTGTAGCCAACTTTAGGGGGCGGTGCTCATCTCTGTTTCTTTAGGCCAGGGGTGTCAAACTCAAGGCCCGTGGGCCAGATCCAGCCTGCAGGATGCTTAAATCTGGCCCACAGGGCTGGCCTGGAAATAGCAAAGGACTGGCCCGCGGTGCCTCTGGCAGCCAAAACGGTGTGGAAGGCCGCATGTGACCCCCCCACCCCATTTTCAGCCTGGACGGCCTCCTGCAGCACTCTGCCAGACAAAATAGGGTGCAGGGGGGTGTACCCCATTTTGGCTGGAAGGGTGCTACAGGAGGCATCTGTCCCATCCCCCCATCCCCACCTGGCCAGCTCGCAGAGAACTACAATGCTGATCCAGCCCTTGAAGAAGTCCTGTTTGACACCCCTGCTTAAGGCTATTGTGCCAGTGCTGTCTGAAGACGTTTCCGCAGGTATGTGGCCAGCATGACATCACATCATAGCACAGAAAGTGCAGTGAAACAGGGAGCACTGTTACCTCCCCAAAGTGATGCCTATTTATCTACTTGCATCTACATTTTCAAACAGCTAGGTTGGCAAGAGCTGAGGCAAGTGACAGGATCTCATTCCATCATGTGGTGTTAGGACTTGAACCGCCAGAGCCACAAACCTTCTCCAGTATCTTTTAAGCCACTGAGACACTGCACCTCTCCATAAGTTGGAGACTACCTGTAATTACATATTACTCCTTAGTGAATTGGCACCTACAATACATCTTCAAGAGGCAAGCAAGCACGTTCTGGAGAACACACACACATATGTACACACCATTTCACAACTTCTTCTCTGGCGCCTGCCAGCCACCACAGAACTTTAGTCAGTACCTTTCCAGCAAGTCCTTCCGAAACTGATGCCCTTGAGGCAGAGTTATAAGCTCCAGACCCGAACTCACCCCCATGGCCCGCTGCTGCTCTTTAGATACTCCAATGATCCTCAACGCCTGTAGAAGAGAGATGGTGTATTTCACAAGACGTTAGCCAACAGTTGTTTCTTATATCATCTCCATTTCACCCTTGAGGGGAATTTTTCTTGTGAAGCTAAATCAATTATACTTTCTACAACAGCAGGTCATTTTAGCTGGAGAGCCAAAGGACTCAGAGAATCAGCTGAGATAGAAATCCCCAAATCCCCATCATATTCTTTTCAACATGTCAGAATCAGGCAGCAGATTGGGTAGCGGGGGGGGGGGGGAAGAGGAGAAAACATTTGAGGAAATTACTTTTATCTATTCCAAGCTGGAAAGATCTGTAACCCAATTCTTATTTCAATGCTTAAAAAAAGGAACAAGGCCACACAATTAAAGCCACGTTTTTCTTTTTTTAAACAGAAAAGGAATTTTTTTTCCCTGCTACTATGCTCCTACACAATACTGTTCCCATCATCATCCTCATTAAAATTTCAATTAAATGTACTCTGATGACTTCTTTTCAAATCCTTTCCTGAGAGGTTCACACAAATTACAAATAAATAAGGGTACTAAAAAGGCTAGAGGGAAAATATGGATTAAAAACTTTCTGCTCAGCCAATTTATATTTTTAAAGAGGTATATCTCATCGTAGCTCTAAGGATTGCTTGTATTGACATTATTATTTAGTGCGGGGGGTTGGACTAAAAGCCCTCCAGGTTCCCTTCCAATTCTGTTATTCAGGGTGCTCGTATTCCAGCCTGCAAATTACTTCCTCTTTCATTTAGTATGGTTTTGCCAACCAGGATGAGGAAAACACAAAGATGCTTTTAAAATCCCCATTCAATAAGTGAGTTCTGGAATGGGAGTGATGTTAGTGTTTCTTAGCAAAGCAGAGTTTATATCTTGGCTTATATGAACCACAAAACAACTCTGTCAGATGTAGGCTGTTTGAGCTCCCTTGCAAAAGCCACAGGCCCAGTTAGTCTGTCAGAGCCTAAGCAAGTCCTCTGTGGCCCAGAGTGAGCATTTACTCCTGAACAATGGAAAAGGACCCCTTGACTCTTCCGCATCAGCCCATGAGCATTCATAAAACTAGGAGATGGCAGTATTCCAAATTCACTTAACAAAAGGCCCAGGCTGCATCAGATACTATCTCATGCTCAGAACGCCTAACCCAAATGCCTTAGAGTTAGCTCTCTTAACATGAGAAAGTGAATCTCTCCCATAATAGTCAAGCAGGTCAGATAGCCGAGACCCGAGTTCAAGTCCTGGCTCAGGTCAAAATACAATTGTACAAAACCAATCCTATGTTAAATATGAATTAATGCAATCCATGGTAAAGGAGACAACTGAAGGTCACCAAAATAATATTATTGTCTTCTGTGGCTCTCACCTGGCAATCCATTTTTAAAATATGAAGGGCTGTTGTGTGACAGTCATGAGTAGCAAAAATGTCCTTGAGGTGCTTGAGTGTGCCAGGGTCCAGGGGCTTGTTGTTAGGGGTCAAAAGCAATGAGTTAAAGTGCTGAAGCTGAAAGGAGGAAGTGGTCTCTAGCAGGGGGCGCTCAAACCCTGGTTCCACTTCTGTCTCCTCTGACTGGGGAGGAAAAGGAGCTTCAACAGAGTCCAGGAACCCAAAAGTAGTCTCTGTAATGTGAGCCCGGCCACGCCATCTCTCTTCAGTCTGCAGGCGCTCCACATGGCTTCGGGGGCCGTGAGGAACCTTAGGAACCAGTTCACAGTAGTCACTCATCAGCATGGAAGGGACCCTCAGAGGCTTTGGGGGAGCCTTGGAATGAAGCCGCCCTTCTGAACCACTCAGTCCCAAACCTTCCAGCAGATGAGATACTGAGGCACTTGGCCGTAGAACAGGGTCACTGCCTGTGCGAAAGGCAGGAGACAAAGGAGGGAGTTGGGTTCGGTCCTGGTCTCCAGGTGATGTTTCTGGGCTTCCTGTGGGCAGAAGAAGGGATGGTTTGGGTGTTAGAGTTTGATAATCCCTTTTGATTGACACATAAATATTCCCTGCCACAAGTGTACATCTGTCTGAATATGTTTATTATACTGAATTCCTATGAAATCTAATGCTGGGAATTTCAGTATTAAAAACAAGATGTTATAGTGTTATGGTGCCAGATATAATATGTGCAACATTTCAGATGTACCCGCTAATCTTTAAAATGTATGTGTAGTCAATCTCATCAACTAAATGAAGATGGTGCAGGAGATTTTCATCTGAAAATAAGGATCAATTGATTAACCACATTGATCAGGGTAGATGAACTCCTAATAAAGAAAACACTTGTAAAATATTTGATTACCCCAAGTTTAGATCATAATTCCCTAATCAAGCAAAGGCACATATTCAAGATGATGTTATTGCAATGTAGGTCCCAATACCATCGAGATTAGTTCAATGGGATTCTTGGCCACTGGAAACATAGACAGGCAGCCATTATCAAAACTTCCTAGCAGCTACAGCCAGCAGCTGCTGCCATTCAATGTCACCAACAAAAGCTACCCAGTGTTAGAGGCCATAGATCCTATCAGAGCCTTAAGGTTCAGCACTCATCTAAGGAAACCACATGGCGTACAAGGCCTGGCATAAACTGAGGAAAAGCAATAGCTTTAATTATATCTTGACAGTCTTCTGTGGGCTCTGATGTCATATAAAACATCAAGCTATTATTTCTGGTTTCATGCCAAGTTTGTCAGCAAATGCAAAATCCATGGTCTATAAACTGATATAGCCTCAGATGGAAAATATAATACATTTTGGCACGATATCACAATGTAGCATCGTGAGACATTAAATGCCTTCTTGTAAAATATATATCACTTTAAAGGTTTTGGAGGGGGCAACTGACAAAACATGGATTGTGACATCACAATGCAAACCCTGTAAATTATGCACTTGTGACTGATGTCAGGATTCATGCATGAAAGAACAGGGTTGCACTGTGATGTCACAACATGTTTTATTATTTTTTCATGCTTTTACACAAACTGTTTAGTTTTCCAAGTTTTGTCTATAACTAGAAACAAGTTTATCACTAAAGGGCAATTAAATATTTTCAGGAGGAAGGAATCACATTCTATGTTTTACCTTCCACATCCTACAGAGCAGTTTTAGCCATACCAACTTCTGTACCTTTTCTTTGACTCCCAGACAACTGTGTTGCTCAGTCCACTGCTTTCCTGCACAATTTAACCGATATCGGGAAAAATATAGGATGAGTTGGATAATCCTGGAAAGCTGAAGAATCTCTCCTTCCATTTAAGGGACTTGGGGAAAATATATTTGTTGTGTTATAGATAAAGCAGTAGAGGAACCATATTCCTTTCACCATTTGTAAACCAAAGTTGCTTTATTGCCAACCTGCCCATATGGAGTCTTCCATATACCCACCAGTCAATAGGTTGCTGTCTGATTGGGCACCGTGCAATGAAGGTCTCTGGCCCAGCTGATCTAGGCTACTGGGGTCACTTCCACTTCGATCTTTTGTCCTGAGAGAGGGAAAAACCGAGATACAGAACTAAGTGATCCATTCTTCCCCACAAACCCCATTTCTCAAAGACTTCCAGGAAAGCTCATTGACATTGGGGACTTCCATAATCAGACCACCAGACATTCTTTCACTGGTAAGGCTTTCCACATTTTGAGGCATAGACTGTGATAAAGATCCCACACGACAAATATGAGCAAGACTCAGGGAATTGGCCATAATTACTTAAAAGTGTGCCTCAAGTGTGCCCACTCACTACTAACTGGATCTATTTAAAAGCACAATGTAGGAGTACCATATCATATTCTCTGCCACACTGCCAAGGACCACCACCAACCCGTCCAACAGTTTCACCATGGAACAAGGTTCCCCACCGGAGCAAGTTTCCGTCTAGTATTTGTTCTCCAGCAGCGGCAGGACAATAGCTGAACCGTCTAAGAGGTGCTTCTTCCTCCTTCGATGGGCCAGGAGGCTGGCCAGTGTCACTGAAACGCTCCTTCAGACAGCGAAGTGGTACACTCCTGTTGACTGGTCGAGACACCACAGCTCCTGAAATATCTGAGATGACCTTCCGGTTGCCCACGTAAAAACGCACCAGGGCAGGTACATTGTCAAACTGCTCCTGTTCAAATTGGAAAAGGGTGCGAGAATAGCCCTTTCGGGGACGGAGTACCACACGAATTATCTTGAAGTGCAGAGTCTGTCCTCCCCAGTGGCATGACAAGACATAATCACCCAGGCTAGAGCGTGAATCGCGGATCAAGAACTCTCCATCATTCCACAACATGGATTCTGCCTCCTGAGAGAGAGAGAGAGAGAGAGAGAGAGAGAAAGAGAGGTAGAGATAGGAGGAAGGTCTGTCTTTGTTTAAGGAGAGGGCCAACGAAACAGAGTATTATAGAACAATCTCAGTGTGGTTAAATACATGAACAAGACAAGGTTACAGAGAATCAGCATTGCCTGACCCATCACATAACTTCTGACAGGTATTTTATTATCCCTTCCAGGTCAGCAACTTCTGTTGCTATGATAGGAACAGCTGGTTTAATGAAGATACTTTCTTCTGTACAAGTAAAAGCGGACAAACTCTGCCCTATTCTGAATTTGAGAAATCCTCAAATCCATTGAGCCAAGTGGATATAAACTCAGAATGTTCTTTAAAGGAATCTTTGATAGGTTTGATGCTATTATGGCTGATAGTCAACCAAATGTTTAGACGGGATTTGGCATTTTTATCCACTGATTGAGTTTTTCTCAAGGACTTGGATAGGCAAATGTTGCTGTTAAATATTAAAAAGTATCACAGAATGTAAGGTGTTCAAGTAAAGTTGCCATTTGCAATTGACAGATGGTGATTTTGTCAATGCTATTGATATTCAAGTGGTACTCCAGATAGTCTTGATATAGAAGTATTACCGTATATTCTGTTGATGATGATATGTATGTATGTATGTATGTATGTATGTATGTATGTATGTATATTTTGCTAATGATGTTCCAGCAGTGTGACCTCTATCATCCCCATCTCATGCCGCCATTCCTTTCCCTTGGCTATATTCCACTCCTAGCCTCCGTTTTCTAAGTCAGTGACTTAGATGCTAAGGGAAATAAGCAAGAGTGACTTTCTGGTGCAGGAGTAACCTTTTCATGGGTAGAAGTTGACAGATGCTTTCGTGATTGCATCCATTGTCCCTGGATAAACCAGGAAATCTTTTTATGTTTTGCTTTCTTGTTTGGCACTATGACAGAAAATTCTGAATAAGGAGGCCCTATTATTATATATTACACAAGAACCTGTCCCAAATGAACAGTTGAGTTAACATGCAAGAAAATATAGTTTTTGGTGTCTAATGATTGAGAAAACAAACTGTATGCACTTTAAGAAAAAAAAATAACATGTTTCCCTTAGCGAAAACACTGTTCCCAAGCAACTCTGATTGTTTTCCCCTTCACTACGAACTTTGAAAAAAAAATACCTCCTAATCAAATTTGACCCTGTCCTTTCTTTTACCCTAACCATCCATCCTCCATCCAAATGCTGTTTTCCCTCAAGTGTTTCTTCTCTTCCCCTCCATATAGAAAGAGATGTATGTTAATTCTTTATGGTTAAATGTTAACTATTATTGCTGAGAAAACTAAACTATGAGAACAAACTATATCACATGGGTACAAAATGTTGGTCTATGACTACAGTAAAGATTTGGTTAGTAGCCATGGGAACGAACTATATCTATCTCAACTGCCTAATCTTCATTCGTTCTTTAAAATAATTCTATCTGGATACTTCATTATGAAAACTACCCTTCCTATGAAGGACGGGAAAGTTAACTTCTTAATGGCCATTTCTCTACTAAAAGCACATTTGCCCAAAGTCAAATAACAGGCAAAGATTGTTATGTCAATCTTACTAAAGACAGTTCCTCATTGTGTAGCAAAGGCACTACAAGTGCTATCATTACTATGATAGTACTTACATTACTATCACTCAATCAGATGCTTCTAGCAGAATTCTGCAATTTACAAGACTACATGGATCAATTTCAGATTACTGAAATTTGTCTTCCCTGCTCCCATCAAGGATGCTTGGTGGAATGATAAAGTGAAAAAGGCAGTGGTTGAAAAAAAAGCATATAAAAGAATGTTGTAAAAAATAAGGTTGACAAAAAGCTTTATATAACATACATAAAGAGAAAAAGACATAGTCAAACAAAGCAAGGAGCCATTAAGACTACAGAGAAAATACAGAGCAATCTTGGAAATAAATATTTGTTCTGGAAATGAGTAAAAATGGCTAAGCCTTCAGCAAAGTTAAATTACACTAAAATGTGATGAAATTATTTATGACTAAACTGACAACAGAAAAGGCAGAAAATAATTTATGGAGATTTCCATGGGAATAATAGTGATATTTCTAAGAACAGAATTAAAACAAATGCAATAAATGTTACCATCAAGGAGCCACAGTATAAAAAGGATATTTATGTAAGTCCTTAGCTTTCCTTTTTCTTTCCATGCTCCAAAACTGATAACTTGACCTCTTCTTTTGGAAGGGTTGATTTGTCTCAATTTGCCCTTTGCCTCTATAATTATATTTTGCTACTATACTGTTTTTCACTGACTGCATGGCAACTACGGTAGCTAACCAAGTAACAAGATTTTTGCTGCCTTACCTTCCGTGGCAGGCAACCATGGTACCATGCATGGCTGCACAACTGTTCAGTACCAAGTTTCAACTCCTCCTCCAGCTCCTTTCTTAGTCTCTCATTAGCCAATTCCATGTTCTTCAAGAATTAAATCTCCTAGAAAAATCAGGAGAGTTTATAAACATCACTGGCTATATCCCCAACAAGCTCAAAAAAAAGCAGAGAAGAATTCTTATATCCCGATTTTCCTTGGACAGGCAAAGCATTATTAAGCAGTCACATGACACAAACAGAACTGATCCCTGGAAACAGCTGCTCATGCAGTTTGACTCAGTTGAAGCCATCATGGTGTACTGGTTGAAGAAACAGGGCTTAAATTTATGCACAGTCATAAAATTCACCAAATGGCCTTGAAGTGTCACACCCAGCCTACTCAACCCCAAGGGATTATTATCAAAGTAAAAAATGGCAGAAGGAATGTTCACCTCAGGAAAGAAAACTATAAATGCTGCAAGTATAAATGAGGCATTTCAAATATACTGCTCAAAAAAATAAAGGGAACACAAGCAGAAGACATCCGAGATCTGAATGAATGAAATAGCCTTATTAAATACTTTGTTCTTTACATATAGTAGTTTATACCCTGCTCAAACAACTAAAGGGAACACAAAACTACTGTATGTAACAAACAAAGTATTTAATAAGGCTATTTCATTCATTCAGATCTCGGATGTCTTCTGCTTGTGTTCCCTTTATTTTTTTGAGCAGTGTACTTTTAGAGGCAATATCCATTTTAAAAAGCTAGAAAGCACGTGGAGCAGTTTTTCCCAATCTGTGCCCCACAGATCAGTGGTGGGTTGCCCCCGGTCCAGACCGGTTCGCAAGAACTGGTAGTAAAACTGGCGGGAGGCTCCGCCCACCACTGGGGGGGGCGCACGGGCACAAGCGCAATGCAAACCAGTAGTAAAGGTAAGTAGAACCCATCCCTGCTGCAGATACCTCAGGATCACCAGTCCCAGAATTTTCAGTGGAAGGCCCTGAAAAGTACCAGGAACATTGGGAGGAGGTGAGGAAAATCCTTCCACACAACATGCAACAGCAGGGCACACAATACCCCCAAAAAACCCAATACAAACACAAGCAAATCCCACAAAAGCAGCATCACATCAAATTGGGGATCTTATCTCGTGGTAACAAGGAAAGGCCAGAACAGGGCACAGATGGCCACAGGAATGTGAAATGCAGGGCTATAGGGTCCTGGATTCAGAATGGAGAACTACAACTAATCAGGTTGAGATAACATGGGATTTTGATAAAAAAATAAATAAATAGAAGGATTCATGCAGACTGATCATGCTGCTTTATTTTAATTGATCATGGTGTATTAATCTTTAAACTAAAGTGACCTCAATCTCCTCTCATTCTTTCATTTTCAAAAACCAAAACGTCACACTGAAGCCTGTAGTTGAAGTTCCTTTGGCTGTTAATGGTTTTCTTATTACCTCTCTTCCACATTCTCTTCAACCAGATGTGTGTTACCTCCTCCTCTCTTTTAAACTTTCACAGATTATTTGTTATGGAGCAACAGGGGGAACACAGAACGTAAAATAGTAGGGTTGGAAGGGACTTGGAGGTCTTCTAGTCCAACCCCCTGCTCAAGCAGGAGACCCTATACCATTTTGGATAAATGGCTGTCCAATCTCTTCTTGAAAATCTTCAATGATGGAGCACCCACAACTTCCAGAGATAAGATGTTCCACTGATTAATTGCTCTTACTTTAAGGACATTTATCCTTAGTCCTAGGTTAGATCTCTCTTTAAAGCTCTTTCGCCCATTACCTCTTGTCCTGCCCCTGTGCTGTAGAGAATAGATTGATCCCCTCTTCTCTGCGAGAGTCCCTCAAATATTGGTTAGACTGTTTATTTTTACATTTTATTTTATTTCTATTTTAAATAAAGTCTCTGTTCAGAACCATGTCAACATTCTGTTCCATCCAGTCTATGTTCTCTCTTAGTTCCTTTATTTTCTCAAAGAGAGTTTCCCCACAAAACTAACATTTGATGACATTCCTCAGCATCCCTAAATGCCTTCCACCCATAAGGGATGCTTTGGAAATTCTGCATATATTTGTATAGTCTATGGATGTTCCATATATTACACAGTTGTTCTATATATAATTATATCCTTAATAACTACAAAGAGATAGCTCTAAATCATAGCTCAGATAAAAATCACATTGCTTGATCAATTCCGGAAGAGAAAAAATGAACAGAATTTTAATACTCCATACAAAGATTCTAACCAGTAAATAAAGTATTGTAGCTTCATTGCTACCTGTACTGCATGATAACCTACCAAGAAAAGATTAGGGAATTTTCTGCACATTATTGTTCTTATGCTACAATTTAATATGAAGACGTGCTTCTGCTGTCCCCAAGTTCATAGTGAATCACTCAAGGACTTAATAAGAATGCAAAATGACTAATTGTAGATAAATATGACCTCATAATAATTGGCCTCTGATTATTTTTATTGACCCTTCTTACAAGGGGACAGTTGACACTACTTGCTGCTCTGAAAGTGAGCAGAATGCCACTTATCTTGTATGGTATACAGGTTCCTGGCATATGCAAGTTATATAGACCTTCCTGAATCATCTTGATGCAACAGGAAAAGTGGCAATGCAACATATGGATCATGAAGTGATGTGCTCAATTGTGCTTCCAGCATTCACTGGAGTTTATAGAAGTGGATTGCCACCATGCTGCTTGAGCAGCATTATAGAGCTTGCCCTGCAGGAACAAGTTAATAGTGCCACTTAGGACAAAATTAACTATTAATATTGGGGAAAAGACATGGAAAATAAAGCTATTCAGTTTCCAAATTGCACTTTTTACGTACATGAAGTAATACTAATATGCTACAAAGTCTCCTTTCCAAACAAGCTAGTCGAGATTTTTCAATAAAATTGTCTCCCATCTTGGGAGACAAGTTTTCAGTGCTGTTCTAAAAAATAAAGTAGTTCTATCAAAAGCTAAGCCATCAAAGCAATCTAAATGAATTTTTTTTTAGAGTTTTCCAAACATATCTGGTTGCCAGAACATGCTAGCTACTGATACAGCTATTTTCACCAACATTCAAGAATAAATTAGATTTCATCTTCAATTTGCTTCATGCTAGGTATGCACACAAAGAAGAAGCATCCATTTCAAAAATAACAAATGAAAAAGCTGAAAAATATTACTTCAAGGAAAGGGGCACAGGCAAGTTGGTAATATTACTACCTCATGGATAACCAGCCTGGTATGAAGCTAGCTTCTGTCTGAGTTGAGAGAAATCTATTTTTCCTGAGTTCAGGGGGGGAAAAGATCTTATACCAGAGGACAACATACTGTAACTCTCCCAGTAGGTTCAAAAGTCCACAGAAACCCAACAATTAAATCTAAGTATTTGCTTAGAGAACAGAAATTGAATTCAGAAAGTAGGCTACTTTTTAACAGGGGAGGGGTAAAATATTAAAAATAAAACAAAGAACAGATGCTGCTTATATCTTCTTGAAGAAAATAAAAACCATCTCCAGAAGTGTCCCTTAGTACTGTATTTCAGGAACATTCACCATTTTGCACAGGGGGGAAAAAGAACAGCCTCTAACCCAGCATGTGCTTCTGAACAACCAGTGGAAAACTGTTCCTTTTGGAAAGAACTGGAAAGGCTATGACAAGATTCAGGCTAAACACTTAGCAGAGGAGGAAATAAGAGTCAAATAAGTGAGGGGGGGTAGCAGGATTTTCTGAACTCTCCAAGAGAGCTTAGCATGTTTTTTAAATGCCTTTAAAAGATACATCAATTGATCCACTTAGAAAGGAAGAAAAAAACAACAAAGAAAAAAGCAGAAAGCTTGCAACAGAGACAATCTAGGAAGAGTTAATGATTTGGTTGCAACGTCAATTCATGAAAAAGATTGTGGATTAGGTCCTTCCTTTTTAATCTGTTCTGCAAAAGTGGTCCAACCAATCTGAACTCAACTTGTCTGAGAAAATTGTGGATGGGTTGCGTTTTGATTGATTGTGTTCCCCCAATTGACTTGTTTTGTTCAACAAAATAAAAGTAGGAGACAACATTAATGCTTTCAATTTTCCTAAAACTTGTTCTCATCCAGAAGAGAGATTTCACAGAATTTATCACTGACAAGCAGGTATAACTTTAACAAATCCATTTTATAATTCCAAACTCACACATAAAAGATGTACCTCACTGATGCAGAACTAATTATGTTTCTCCCAAGCTATTTGATAGTTACTCTAATAGCTCCACAGCCGGAACTAACAGAGAGAAACGGATGAGCTATACAATAGAAAGGAAATGCTTTATGTGACTTTCTTCCCCAGGTTTGAACATTGTTCCCAACATAAGAGCAAAATCAACAAATATGTAGAAAAGACATACTGCGGATTAGAGGATTTAAATGAGCTCAACCCTTAGAAGCAGCACCATTTAGGGAGAGATGACAAATACACACAAATTGTTTCAAGCCATATTTATCTCTTCCTGAGAAGCACTTACAGAATACAGAATAACAGAGTTGTTATTCTGTATTCAAGGATATGTTATCCTTGCAGGTCTTCTAGTCTAACCCCCTGCTCAAGCAGGAGATCCTATACTTAAAATAGTTATTTTGCTAGCATATATAACTGGGATAATTTTCTCTTGAAACCAGTGAGTTTCTCTTCTAACCTAGCACCTTCAGTTGAATCTTGAACATATTTTTGGATATTTTTGTATGTTTCTCTCCATCATGAAACAGCAATCCAGAGAAGAGAGCATTTTTTTTTTTTGTCTACTGAGGATTTGACTCCCTCATTCTCAAAAGTGTTTGATACAAAAAGGATTTATTGCCTAAAGGCAAAGAAAAAAAAATTCCATATATTGGTCAATTGCAGCTATGTCTCTACTTTGGAATTTTTGCTCTGCACTCACATCCATCAACAAACTTCTGCCCGCCTCATGAAAGACTTGACTCTTCCTCTCTTGGTGCTCCTCATATTTGGAACTGCTTCACAGAACATCAAACTGATTCCATCACTGTTACTTCTTCCAAGCTCCTTCTCAAGTATGTCTTTCTTGTGAACATTTTCATCTTCCCCCTGAACACACTCCGGTTAAATTCCATTCTCAACCACAGAAATCCACTTGATAGCTTTGGGACAATTGTACTCTTTCAACCCATTCTACCCCACAGAGATACGGTTACAGAGATAAAATGGAGACTACCATGGAAGCCACCTTGTGTTCCTATAAAAAAAAATCAGGATAGAAATCTAATGAAGAAATTAATTGGGACTTTATAACTAAGTTTGAGCATAGCTGAATGTATGTTCTTCCTTACTTGGTCTTTCCCAATTTCTGTCCCTTCATTCTTATAGCCCAATTTTACAGAATACATAATAACAGAAGTGGAAGGGACCTTGGAGGTCTAACCTCCTATAACATTGTAGACAAATGGCTTTCCAATCTCTTCTTGAAAGCATCCAATGATGAAGCACCCACACCCGCAGGTAAGCTCTCCCAGAAATTTCTCCTTCGTTCTAGGTTGGATCTCTATTTGTTAAGCTTCCATCTGTTACTTCTTGTCTTGCTTTGGAGAATAGGTTGACCCACTCTTCTCTGCGACAGCCCCTAAAACATTGGAAGACTGCTATCATGTCACCCCTAGTTCAGTATCATGTCACCTTTATTTGATGAGTTCCCTTTCTATTCCCTCATCTAGATCATTTATGAAGATATTGAAGAGTACAGATAGCCCTTGACTTACAACAGTTCGTTTAGTGGCCGTTCGAAGTTACAATGGCACTGAAAATAGTGATTTATGGTTGTTTTTTACTCTTACGACAGGTGCAGCATTCCCATGGTCATATGATCATGTGATCCACTTTTATGACCTTCTGACAGGCAAAATCAACGGGGAAACCAGATTTACTTAGCAATGGTGTTACTAACTTAACAACTGCTGTGATTCACTTAACAACTGTGGCAGGAAAGATTGTAAAATGGGACAAAGTTCATTTAACATCTGTCTCACTTAGCAACATAAAATTTTGGGCTCAATCGTGGTTGTAGGTCGAGGACTAATGGTACTGGGCCTAAAACTGAACCTTGGGGTACCCCACTACTTACTTCCCTCCGTGTGGATGTAGTTCTGTTGAGGATTACACATTATGATTTGTCAGCCCGTTACAAATCCATCTGATGATAACATTGCCTATTTCACATTTTTCTATTTTACCAAGAAGTAGATTGTGGTCTACAAATAGTCCTCAACTTACAATTCATTTAGTAATCAAAATTACAATAGCACTGAAAAAAAAGCGACTTATGGCCATTTTTCACATTTGCAACCATTGCAGCATCCCCACAGTCACATGATCGAAGTACGGACTCTTGGCAACTGATTCATATTTATGACGGTTGCAGTGTCCCGGGGTTATGCGAGCACCTTTTGGACCATCTGACAAGCAAAGTCAATGGGGAAGCCACATTCACTTAACAACCATATTATTAACAACTGCAATGATTCACTTAAAAACAGTGACAAAAAAGGTCATAAAATGGGGCAAAATTCACTTAACAAATGTCTCACTTAGCGACAGAAATTTTGGGCTCAATTGTAGTCTTAACTCAAGGACTACCTGTACTTTGTCAATTGTCCTACTGAAGTCAAAATATCACAGCCTTTCACTGGTCCACTAATTTAGTCAAGTTTTATCTGGCATGATCTGTTTTTAGTCTAATTTGAATCAGTTTGAGAAAGGGGCAGACTGTCCACCCACAGTAGTTCATAAAATGATGATCATAATATATATCCAGTACACAGTTAGGGGTCCATCAGAGAGTACTAGGGCATTTTCTAAACTTGGCATGAATAATTCCTCTCATCTGATTAATCTATGGGAACATAAGAAAAGACACTTCCCAGCTTTGTAATGAACTCAGTTCCTCCAGAGTTAAATCAAGGCATTGCAGTGATTTGGTGAAGTTTCCACACACTCTGTCATTTCAGTAAGTTGAATCATCTTCCAACTGACTAGTGAGGTAGTCGTTCCCCAGAATTTGCTTCTAGCTTCAGTATTCAGACCACAACATCATTCATTCAAACTCCGATTTGCTTCTAGAAAGAAGGAGCCACTGTAAACATAAAACCTGCCCAGGTTACAATTGAGATCAGGCAAAAATTCAGCTATACATGCCCAGGATTATTGCAGTTGTGGGAAAGGCATGGACTTTTTACACATGAAAGAACTCAGTCAAACATGGTCTCACAGGCAGGAGAGGTCAGCCAAAGATGAAGAAAGGGAGAAGGAGGACTTGTGCCTTAAAGCTCTTATTGCGTACTTTTTATGCGCCAATCTCCAAATCCCAAAACTTACACTGACTTCTATACATTCAAATATATTTACTATACATTTTATTTATTGTAATGCATACTTAAGTCCCCATTTCTTTTCAAATCCCCACATTTATCTTCACAATAACAATGTTAAATTGATGTTGCAGAGTTTAAACCTAGATGGGGAAAAACAGTCTATCTCATAGAGACATAATTATTAACCCCCTCCAATATTTGAAAATGATCCTCTCATCTTTATTTAATTGTATCCCGTGCTTTTATTATTTTAACAAATAAGGCAGTGAACATAGCTCCTTCCTTCCATTTTCCTTACAATAATCCTATGAGGTGGGTTGGGCTGAGAAAGATTGATTGGCCTAAGGTCACCCAGCTGGCTTTCATGGCTAAGGCGGAACTAGAACTCACAGTCTAGCCTGATTTTTAGCCCCACAAGCCCAAACTGGCTCTTCAAATGTCTTTATGACATTTTGTGATTGTATGTTGTTCAACAAACCTTTTTCCAGAATGATTTATGTCATATTTAGGTCTGATATTTGCCCTTACCATATTCACTCAGGCTAAAAATATTTTATACATTCCACCCATCAATACTGGCTTGGGAACACATACCACTAACAAAGAATAGCATACTTCTCATTTATGTATACACAATTACTCTCTGGATTACTAACACCTTACAACAATAAAAACACACTTAAACCGAACAATACATCAGAAATTTCGCTCTATCTACCTAGCTGCGGAAAGAGGAAGAACACAGCTGCATCCGCCAGATGCCAAGAACGCAGTCAATGTTGCAAAAAGGGGGGGGGGGCGCAGAGGTAAGCCCCATAATAGGGCTAGCAGGTGTGGGAATCCTCTGCCTTAACTCAAGGGAGGATAGGTGCATTCTCAGTCTAAACCCCGGATAGCCATTCCGAAAACGCAGGTTCAGGCGAATAAGACCTCCCGCACCTAAGGAATAACAACTAGGCACGTACTGTACCTTTTTCCGCTGAGTTAGGAGGGAATGTGGAAATTATGTCGAAAGAGAAGACACCAAGGCAGGTCCTCAGGCAACCGTCGAGAGAAAGCGGCGGAAAAGGTGCGCCCGAAGGAAAAAAACCCCGCCCGCCCCGCCAGGAGAGGCAGGACTGAAGTTGGAGGGCCCTCCCACGCGTCCTCGACCTCACGCCGGCATTAATCCCCTCGGGGGCAAAAGCAAACCCTGACCCTCCGCTCCACGCACCCAGATGCAGCCAGAGGTCACCGGGCTCCGCGCGGCTACCTAGAGGTGCGACCCGCCACACAGCTGGGGCGGAACCTGCTTGCCTCCTCGCCCCCCCCCCCCCCCCCCCGCAGCTCTCTACCAGTCAGGATCTCCGCCCTTCCCAGCTTCGCGCATTCCTCCGCTATCTGTACCGACCCCGCCTCAAGCGTGGTTGCTGCCACTCACCCGCCGATTTGAAGTTTCTGGCGGCGCTGAGCACGCCTCGTGTGGAGAAAACCTGCGCGACTGGGAGAGGTAAACTTGAGGTACGGCCCTCTAGGGAGGAGTAGCAGCCGCGCTGACTCCTTTCAGGCAGTACCTTTTCAGCTTCCCTCCGGAGGGAATGGCAACAGTCCCTAGGTGCTCTATTCCACCTTCCTGAAGGCGTTTTCTAAATTCATTTTTACGTTACTGTTACAGAAGTGTGGTTTGACGTCCGGTGTGTTTGTCTTTTTCTGCAGCCTAAAAAAGGACAAGTCAATTTAAATCTGAGTGTGACCCATCTACTTAAGACTCTCATGGGTTTAGATTAAAATTAGTGGGGTTGAGGGTAAATTAATACTGTATTCCAATCCAGCCCACTTCATAGGGATTCTCTTTTATTTCCAGCTCTTTCCAGGCAAGCCCAACTTTGCATTGTGAGGAAATGGATAGAAATATTTTTGAAAAGTGAACTCATATGCATAATTCTCAGCCTTCTTAAGCACAGAGAGGGTTCTCCAAGGAAGACAAGCAAGTGTGTTTGTTTATCACAGTGCTTCCATATAAGTGTACACAACATCCCAGCCAGTGCTTTCTTCCATAGTTCTGATGACAGAAATGTACAGAGGCTTGCTCCGAAGTAACACACACTGGATTTTTCAGAGTTTATGCCTTAATGAGTGAACTTCTGTTTATACCTTTAAAAATGGGTTTGGAATTGTTTTTATTTGCAGCCAGTGCTAACAGATGCTATCAGGCTTTCGTGTATTGTAGGCACACAAGTTCATTGTCCCAGTTCATCCCTGTCAGAAGGAAATTTCCATGAGTTATTTTTTCAAATCTATAAGAACCATACACACTTGATTCAATGCTAAGCTGAACAAAAATTATTAGAAATATGACAAATCTATTAAATTGATTGTCTGGAATTTTAAAAAACAGTATACTTTTAGACTTACTTCTCAATGTAAAAGGAAATTTCCTACAGCCCATATCTGGTAAGAAAGAAAATGCAAAAGACTTGATAGAGCAAGGGAGGAGGACATGGGAATCAGCTTCGTACTTCACAGAAAAAAGCCAAAAAAGTTCCCCAGGGGTCCAGTCAAAGTAGAGTATCAGCCAGCCATGTTGTCATAACCATCCCCTTTTGAACCGGCAAGGCTCTTCTTACGGATGTCATCTGGTGGATCAGGATGTGCTGTTCTGCTGATGTCCTGCCTGTGACCTCCCAGAAGTCTCTGGCTGGCCCAGATGGGAGTGAAATGCTGCATTAAACAGCAGGACTCTTGTTATGCTCAGGTCGCCTAACATATTCTCACAACACTCCCTGTGATTTGTAATATCGGTTCACTCTGCTTCCTCTTCATGCTCTTCTCCCCTATGCTGACAACTGATGGTGATGACTCAGTTTGGAGAATGTTAGCCTGGATATTTTAGGAGGAAAATCATTTATTAAAAAATTGTCATGGACATTGCTGTAATTCTTGCCAAAAATTTAGAGGGCAGAGGACTTCAGTGATGGATAACTTTATAAGGACTTTTTAAAAGCCAGTACTATTTTGAACTCACCCAATAAATGTCCAAACGTTCCCATTAAATGTTAATCAGTTCTAGTATTTGATAAACATTCACATGAAATGTATAACCAAGACCTGTATTTTTATTTTTACAAGAAAAATTCCAATGCTGAGTATGCAGACTAGTTAGAATTGTGTCCTAAATTTTCTTTTTTTTAAAAAATACACCATTTGAAAAATGGTTAGGAGAATTGAATTCAGCCCTTGGAAGCCATCCTGAATACTGTGCTGTTTTTTTGTTGAACTGTACCACCCAGCACATAAAACCTGATTTTAAATGTAATGTATGACTTTATTCTAACTGGATTAAAGAGTCTGTGTAGAAACTGTATGACATTTGCCAACTTAAATGGAAACTGAAAACATGGTATGGGTTGGATCAGAATTAGGCCATAAGACCCTTTCCAGGCCTGCCCTTCTGAACTTAGTTTTCCAGTACTAACAAAATAGTAAGATTGAATGCCTTGTCTTTCTATAACTGAAAGCTGATAGCTGATTCCCAAACTGTGTTTTATGGCCCAAGAAATTTAGAAAGTGGTAGAAGATGTTAAACTCTGCCAAACGAGGGGAAAGAATTATCCAGGCTGGTAGACACAAAAAGGAGGTTGCTACTCAGGCCAAGCATCCTAATCCTGAGTAAGGTCAGTAAATAGACACCTCTGGTTTGAATTTTGACCTTGGACAAAATATGGCTAGGGTAGTATAGTTTGGAACCCAGGTTTTGTTGGTGATATTTTAACCTTAGATTCCTGTTTCACCTGAATTCAGAAGGCATAGTCACTACATTAAACATTTATTTCAGCCTTGGGACATAGAAAGCCAGATGAGCTGCTGAATAGGACTTTCCTGGCCACTTTTTCTTTCTGCTCCTGAAAGAAATCCAAAAAGGGGATGGTGGATAAGAAAATGATGTCTGCAAAGGTGGGCTGGACACCGGTCAAATTGGCTATTCCTAGTATGACTGGAGCAGCCACTGGTTATTTCTCTAGCACTGATGATGCCAGGACAGGCTAGACATCTCATGACAGGGATGTGCTAGAAATAGGCCTGCAAAGGAAGTAACCAATTTTTCTTGTTAAAAGAAATTAACCTATGCCGAAGCAACTGTATTATGATAATTTAACTCTGTGAGTTCCCTTAGAAACTGTTGGATTTATTGCTTATTTATTTGGTAAATCAGCCAGTTCCAACTTGGCACCTTCCAAATTTATTGGGAATATAATTCCTAGCAAATATGTGTTTACACTGACTAGGGATTCTAATCTAGAAAAGCATCTGTTGGCTGCAGTAAACTTTCATGCTATGCTCATTCTGACTCTATATGTAAATAATTTTTTATCATAATGTTATCAATCACCGGGAATCTCCTTACAGTTGAAACCTGGGAACATATCCATGCACCCACTTTAGGCCTTTATATTATTAGTATAGGAGATAATTTCAGATTAATGTAAAAAGTGTTATTCTTTAAAAGTAAACAAATAAGCTTTACTTGCAAATACCTTTTTGTATTGATCAACTCAAAAGAACCAAACTTACAAGACATTCTCCAATTTAAAGCACTTTACACAGGAAGTGATAGAAAAAGGAACTGCAAAGATAAGCAAAAATAAGCGGATAGAATTGTGGTAAACAAAAAGAATTACAACTGATAAACTATGCAACAGCTGCAAGAGTTACAATTGGTTGTATGTGATCTGGGTCTTGCAACGAAAAATAATTTAATTCAGTTAAATACATAATTTTCAATCATATGAGGTCTGAAAGCTACAATTCACAGAGAAGAGTGACCTCGTGTGGGTGTAACTGGTAAGGAAGAGGGAAAAATTTACAAAGTAGTATTCCTACACTGAAAACTAGCAGTCTGAGATTTATTAGTAGTCTAATCCTGTGAAGTCACAGTCCAATTCATGCATCTCACTTAACAATCATACGGTTTCTAAATTCATGGGGTGCAGCTAATTGATTTCTCATGGATCCAGGGCAAAGAATAGATCAGACTTTTTAAATGTCTTCTTCCTCTATGAAAAAAATGCTTTTCCATGCTTTTCTACTGCTACTTCCATCTTTTCTTTTATACATCCACACAATAGGTGTACCCTTTGATATCCTTAGGAGTCTTCTGGGCTGTTCCCATCTACCAGCTATTTCTCATCCTGATTGAGAGCAACTCTTGACACTCAACCTTCCTGCCAATTCCCCATATCACAAAGCCCACCATTTATAAATTAATCTCAAGTTCCATCCTTTTCACACACATCTAGCAAGGAATCTCTATCTAAGTATACATGGGTATCAAAAAAAGGACAGATGGTGCAGAACTTCAAAAGACTGGGAAACAAGTAGCTATGTAGTCGCTGACTCTGATGAGAAAAGGACACTCTAGATTCAAAATGTAGTACTAATATACAAAGGGAAAAAGTCCTGGCATTGTTACAGAACTTCTCATACTTGTAGTTTCTTAATTCTCTGCAATGAGTTTACATTTTTTAAATGTCTACTTGAGAATTCAAAGCTGGGAGAGAATCTAATCATCATACTTGGCATGAAGGCTTGAGCACATGTTGAAGTGTCTATGATTTACTTCCCATAAGATCTTATCAGGTATGGCATGTAATTTAGGGGCCTAGAATGAAAAAGAGACAAAAAGGGATGAAAATTATTACTGGTTCTTATTCAATTTCCTACTATTAATTAGAAACATTCTTTTTGGAATCCTATAATCAGGAAATAAGTTGGCTGATAAGTGAGTAGATTTGCCCCTCATTTCCCTTTTTTCTACTCAGCCTTCTTTTTCACAATTTTCCTCACTGCTTAGATCTTTTTGGTGCTCAGATACCATGCAGATGCTCAGATCAGTTGGGATAGCCACTGTGGCCAGACAAGATAGTGCCTTGAATCCAGGAGGGAGGGGAATCTGAAAGGAACCAGAAGGCACAACAAAGGCAGGAATTCCTTCCAATGGGAGACTGTCCACCCTACAGCTCCATTGAAAACATTGCAAAATTACTTTCATAGCTTCTCTTTTAGAGCAATAGTTAAATCCAATGGCACAAGACATGGTGCCAATCTCAGACTGGTATAACCCTTACGTGTGGAAGGGGCCTAAGTATGAATCTGTTCCCTCCAAAGGTAATTATCTTTCAAATTTGAACAATTAAAAAGTTCAAGTAATAAATCTCCCAGTGTCTTAAGGCCTTTTCTTCAAGTCAATGTACTATATAGTAGGGTTGCCAGGTCTGCTTCCAAAAAATAGCGGACAAGCGGGCGGGGGGGGGGGGTTAAGTAGTAAAAAAAAAAATTACTATTAAATTATATATTTTCTTACAAACATTTTAACACATATTAAAATAATCACTTCAAAACTTTACTTAAAATTCAAAACATCAAATATATTATAATAATATGTAAAATATTAAATTACATTTTACTTTGCTGTTGTGTTTATTTTTTATTTGACTGCGCAGCTTTGATCAATTCTTTGTGTTTAAGGAATAATTCTTTAATTTCAGTACAACGTTGAGAAATATTAAAAAATATACAAAGTTCACTTCGAATTGATGGTACAAGCAGTCGGTTACGTTTGTCAGTCCACAAATTTCCCATGACGCTGAAAATTTGTTAAACGTTTGCATTTGATACCGGAATTGATGCACAATACTTGGAACAGTTTCAGTAAACTCAGAGCTGGCTCTTTCTTGAAAAAGTACGTCCACTTATCAAGGGATGAATCGCCCTGCAGATGAACATAAACTTCTTCTAAGGCAGAAATTTCATCGAAGAGAGTGTTGGGTGGAAGTTCTTCTTGCCATGGTGATAATAACCAGATGTTCGTCATTTCTTCTAAAGTTGGAGGATTATTGCGATCAATTAGATTGAAACAACTTAGCATCTCATATACTGAATTGGTGAAATTATACCACTATTCTAGGTACGCAATGGCTCTTTCATACACGTTGATGGCTTCTTTCTTGAACTTTTGCACGGCATTCTCAGGCAAATGTTTTTTATGTAAGGCAAATAAAACTTTCATTCCAAAAAACTGCTCATTGTATTTTTTTTGCAAAGAATCACGCAGCTTACACATGATAATGTGAAGATCACATGCAAGAATTTTCTTGCTTTCCAGCTTCAGTAGGGTGTCTTGCATTATTGACATGAAGAAGTGCGTGAAATATAAATACAATTCTGAAATTGTTGGTTCATCGTCCTTTGCGAGTTCATTTTCCTGATCCGAAATAAGGTTCCAGATAACCTTTGGCGCTCATCAGATCCAAGAGAAATAAAATACGATTTTAGAGGTATCCAGTTTAAAAGAAGTCTTTCGACTGCTTTAAACAAACTTAACCAACGTGTTGGAACATGGCGCAAAACTTCATGGAATTCTGACTCGCAAAACTCAAAAAATGATTTCAACTCTTCTTGTTTCTTCGCAGAATTCGAAAATTCGGCAAAAACCTTCACCACTACATTTTTGATATCAAAAGATAACTGCTTTAATGCATTTTTTGCGCTGTTGTGTAAAATGTGATTATTGCAATGAGCAGTTACAATATTGTCATTTTCCAGCAATAATTTTTGGTAAACAGATTTGTTCACTCCATAATTGACCGATGCATTATCTGCTGAGTAAGCTGAAACATTATTTATTTCCAATTCGTTATCACTAAGAACTCGACAAAGCTGATTTTTTATTGATGTAGAATCTTCGAAAGAATCCTCATAAAAGTCTAAAATTTTCACACACAGTCCTT